TTGGCAAGGTTAGAACAAAAGTATATATTTGCATATGCTTACAAAATTGACAACGACATTAGCCGAAAGTGGTTGTATCTGTCACTAAATTTATTCAACCAAAACCATTAGCATGAAAGTTGAAATAGAAAACTGAAATCATGCCATATTCCTCCAGTCACAATTAATTTAGTAAAGATGAACAAACTGTTCCAATCTTTCTTCATGAGAACTGAATACGAGAAAAAAAACTTGAAGTGCTTGAAAACCTACCGTTCAACAATTATTAGTTTACCAATTCAAGAGTGATATATCTGATAGCAGAATATGTGATTCCAAGGAGATGTGATTCTCTGCAAGGCTGCACATGCCTTGGGAGGTGACGTCCATGACTTGTCCTCCGTTGGACGACAGTGTCTTTATGCCTCGACACGGTTCGTTAGCTTTATCCGCTCTTTAACCGACCTCTTCTGGTTTCTTTTATATTTAACTAACCCTTTCTAATCATAAGATCAAAAGGAAAAAATCATACAGGATCTCATATGTCGATGCATATATGAACCTCCTCATTGGGCTCACTGATCATCTCAAAAATTCTCCAGTGCAAGAACACATGACTATTTCAATTCAACCAAAATAATAACAAGAACATTGAAATAGAAAACGTTAAGCACTATGGTAATTCCAATTAGGAAAATTTTATCTGAATCCATGTTATGTATCTCTACACCCAATTAATAATTCTTTCCTAATAAACTACCAAACGTGCCCTTAGGTGAATGGAAAAAAAAAATATTAGAACACAACCCACCAACCATCAACACACGATCTTTACACCCAGTCTCTCATTTTTGTCGGTGAACCCAAACCCAAACGCAGTTAACCACCGTTGCTCTCATCTCTCTCTCTCTCTCTTTCTTGTTAGGTTAACTTTTTCCGGTGCCTATAAATTTGATAAACTAATATATATGCAACATTATTATTAAGTCAATTCGGTCAATTTGAATTAGTACTTTGGTTTTGTTATCAACTTAAACGTCAACAGCTTGGGGAATAAACAACGACTAATGAAGGGAAGCTACAGGTTCCAACCGACGGGCTGACGGAGAAAGAGAGAGAGTTCGTAAGTTGGCGCAGTAACATACATCGAAATCATTGTCGACAGCAAAGCCGGTGGAGCATTGCAGTTCCATTCGGTTCGAGAGGAAAGAGAAAAAGGGAGCAGAAATAAAAATAAAAAGTGGAGGAGGATGGTGGCCGTCGATGACATCGAGGAGAAGTAGTTTGGTTCACCGGAAAAAAAATGGGGGAGTGGGTATAAAGATAAACAAAGTGTGTCGACGGTCGATGGGTTTTGAGTTCTAATATTTTTTTTCTTTTCATTTCCATTCATCGAAGGACAAATTTGGTAGTTTGCTAAAAAAACTTATTAGTTGGATGTAGAGATACATAAATTAGATTCAAATAAAATTTCTCTTTCAATTATACAATTCCATAAAATAATGAACCAACTATTTCAATCTTCCTTTATTATAGTTAATTCAATATCATCATTAAGTGCTTCAATTAGAAAACGTTTGGATTTGAAGGGTGGTGGCGGTGGAAGAAAACTTGAACTCAATAGGCACCACTCGTAGAATCTAATTATATATAATCGTTTTATTTAACTTATAATTTCAGTCTATAAGACCAAATAGGAACTGATGTAAAATATGTGATGTGCATATCTGTTTGGGCCCAAAATAATATTGTTGGGTCGAGTGTAGGTTTGTGCTCGGCCCAAAGCCATGTCAAAAGTATTATGGGCTGTCTGGTGATTCTGGGCCATTCAGCAGGGATGGTCGAGTCCTATCACAAGAAGGAGTAGTTCAGATAAGCAAAGGGGACGAGGAAGTCCTAGTGCAATTAGGATTCTCGACCAACAATGAATAAAGCCCTAAAAAGGGGTGAGTTCAAAGTCCTAGTGGGAGTGGGGTTGTTCGAAGCAAAGTTGGAACAAAACAAGGAATCCCAGTCAAGATATGAGTTTAATTCAATCTCAAGAAGGAGTTGGTGCTATAAATACAAGACATCATGCAACAATTCGGGACCTTCAATTCAACACACAATTGCCCTACGCAAAACCTCTCAAACATCTTGAGATTTTTTATTTTCTTTTTCTCGCTGACACATCTTCAGTTTGGATAAACAGCACTGTTAAGGTAACCGGCAAACACCTTTAGTTTGGATAAACAGCACTGTTGCCGTAGAATCAGCCGACCGATGAGCACCTTCAGTTTGGATAAACAGCACTGCGTCGAGGCCAACTGGTTACCTATCCAACTCTCGGTCGAGAAGGGTTTTCGAATCCTTATTGTCAGAGGTCATCTTATTAGCCTTTTCGGCAAAGTAAGGTGTTACGAGTCACGACATTCGGCGTATTGGACGTCGAGTAGTTTTATGATTGGATACTCCCAAGTGAGTTTCAGAGTTCGGCATTCTGACAGCCGAACCACATTCACCATCAAGACATACATCACCTTTGAATAATTGTGTCCGTACAGTCTGGTGTCGATTCAACGTGCTTACTTACGAATATAATCATTGTGACCGAATCAGGCGCCGACGATTTGTGAACTTCGTAGAATTAGCAGCCTTGTCTTCAGGCTTGGGAATCCAAAGGCTGAGATTTGTTCCTTCCTCGGCCGCAGTCGCAAGATAAAGAAGTCAGCAACACGCTCAATGCAACATCAACAAGTTTTACTCCTCGGCCGAGTTCAGCCAATGAGTTGGCACGCCCCGCATTCAACCGAATGACGTAGTTAGCTTATTAGTTACTCGGCCTGCGCGCCACGTAGGCTTTGTAATTTTTAGGGTCAACAATATCATATTAATATGCCAAGTATGTGCAATTATATGTGGAAACGTATTGATACCGTTTCAAAGGAGGTCTGACTTGGTGGTGTTGCCAAGCATATGCAATCACAACTTGGATTAAACACATGCAGTTCACGAGAATATTGTGTAATCCAACATTAAAGCTAATAGGCTTTAATTATATAACCAGTGGCTCTGATACCAACTGTTAGTATTGATGTGTTTTGAAGAAAAAAAAATGTTTATGCTGTGCTATGAGAATGAATTCATTTTTGCTCTTTCACGTTTTCAACTTTTTTTCACCCAAAATTGTGAAAATAAGTTGTTTTTAAGTGTTCACTAAACACCTTTTTGAGCTCAACATTTTTTTTTATACCAATTTTTTTATAATAGCATCTTAGTACCAAACTAGTACTTATAAGGTTATACAATTAAACACAAATGAATGAGTGACTAACCTGATTCCAACCGCAGCCACGGAAGTCGAACACAAAAGAAGTAGCACACGGCAACACCAAGATCTTCTATAAACACCTAGCCGGATACAACTACTCTATGAGAAGCATTATGCTGTGTGTTCTAGGGCTTATAAGGACCGGTGTTTTATATAAGCTAAAAGTTGGGGTTTCAATCCATAAAGAAAACCTAAACTTACTTTCTTAGTCTCCAAGTCAAGTATCATAATCATATTCAATTAAGGATTCCATCAATCCTATTTCCAATATAAGACACTTTATATAGGATTGATATCTTTAAGAGATCAAATCACAATCAACATTATTCTCTAATATTACATTCCTATTACATGCATGTAGTATATCACTTAAAGGTTGATTTATATTGGATAAATCCAACAATTTTTGCTATACTTTTGGGATCGTCAGTAATTCCTGTTTCAGGCAGACAAGAGAGAACGTGGACGTATAGAAGTGTCCACAAAAGAAGCCTTACCAGACAGAAGCCAGAAGCTACTATTGGTAAGCAGGTTGAGTTGCTTCAAAGCATGAAATAATTTGCTTTCTGCTACTCCATAATAAAACCTTAAAGAATAATATTTAATTGTTCCTGTCTGGTTCAAGACTGCAAACCCTATAAATTTATAAGGAATATAACAAGACCTTCCGAAAATGGCCAATTGGCTACTCTTTGCATCATGCCATAAATTTCTCGTCCAACAGCAACAAACTGCCGTTGGAATCTGATGAAATGTGTGAATATAATCATGGAAATACCACAATGGGATCCTTTAAATATCCTAAAGCAATAACTTTTATTGTGTGAAATGGGTGCATGTAATCATTCAAAATCTCTTCAAATTTTAACCCACCCAACTTTTTTTCTCATTGGCCGGCTATAGCTCCTCGCATGCAGACTCCTCCACATTCTTGCCCAAAAAGCCGAAGCTAGCTCTAAATGGAACTGGTCGGTCTCGCAACATTATGTCAGTGTGTTAGCTAGGGCATGGACCGACCTTCAAAAATAGCCTCCCACTAATTCCTAGTATGAAGGTGGCCTACTTGCACTTCAAACTTATCATCACTCTTGTGAATTACCCCTCATCTCAAGATTGGAGAGAAACTTATCTACACTGGGATCAAGATCGGAGTCATCCTTACACTGTAAGCTGTAGTCAGTGCAAAATTGGGATTAATGAAATTTATGATGCTAATTTGTATGAATTAAATCCATTAGCCCACCTTAACAACTTCTAAGACAAGTCAGTCACTGAACCACATGTGCTCGATAAAATTGAAAAACAAAAATTATAGCTCACATTGCCCGTAATGTCAATGTAGAAGTATTAATTCCAAACCAATCACACATTGTTATGTGTTAAACTTTCTCACCAGGCAATGCATGATTGATTTAGATACCAGCATCTCGGGTGTAGGCAAGTCTTCCTCTCCCACAGCAGTAGTCTTCTAGTGTTATCTCTTGCAAGTTGTTCTGGTGCTCGAAGTGGTCACATACACAGCGGTTTAACTCTTATGGTGCTTTCAACTTCCTAAGATCGTGGGTACCTTCATTCTATAACCCTATTTAAACCCCTACAATGCCTAGCCGACGAAATGACAAATTACGTGTGAAAAATCCCAGTTGCATTCTTTGAATTTCAAAAGTATGAACTTGGCTACAGCTACTGAAAGTTAAGGCCTACTAACACTAGGTACAATAGAAGCACTTCTGTTCTATAAGTAGCTTAAAATTCTTTCATTCCATTTGCTCCACATGCATCTAAGTGAAGGGCTCCATATGTTGAGCATGATATTTGCTAGGGTTCGTGTGATCCTAATTTGCTTTTTCTCTTTTTGTTTCTTCTTTCCTCCCACACACGGCAGACTTCAAAGTCCTAACACTAGATATGATAAGGATTTGAACCCGATATCTCAGATTTCATTGCCACCTTCTCCTTCACCTCAAGCTGCTAGCCCAAGTTACAATGCTATTTCTGTTCATGGTAATACTGTTTTCAATGTGAGATCTTTTGGTGCCGTTGGAGACGGTGTTGCTGATGACACACAAGCATTCAAAATGGCTTGGGATAGTGCTTGTCAAACTGAAGATTCAGAAGTTCTTGTTCCTAAAGGCCATTCCTTTATGATACAGTCCATGATCTTCACAGGGCCATGTAGTTCTGGCCTCAAATTTCAGGTAATGTGGCTCGTCTGTTAAAGTTCAAAATTTTACTACATTATCTCATAGAGAAATTTTGGATGAGAATTTTTTACTTTAATTCTACCTTAACCAAAATATGATGAGAATTTATCTTTATTTTGTTCTCGTGAAGATTGATGGGACATTAGTGCCACCAGATGGACCTGATTCATGGCCAAAAAAGAACAGCAAGAGACAGTGGCTGGTTTTCTACAGAATCAATGGAATGTCAATGCAAGGGGGTGGTGTAATAGATGGGAGAGGAGAGAAATGGTGGGATCTTCCTTGTAAACCCCACAAAGTAAGCACTTTTTCGACTTTACAATCACCAGTTTGTGAAAATTTAATAATAGCCTCATGAATTTAGTACCTTAGTCCAATTTGTCCCTGAACTTCCAATTTGGTTTTGAATCCTATAGACTTTCAAAACTTGTCAAATAATTAACCCCTATCACCAAATTCTTCAATTTTTTAACTACAAATCAAGGGTTGCTTTCGTCCATCCAAAAGGAAAACTCATTTCCTTATATTTGACAACATGCCAGTTTCCCTGTAGTACCACCAAATCTGTCAATTTTTCCTTCAGATTAAAAGGATATTTTTGTCCATTCAAGAGGGGGGAAAAACAAAAATGTAATAAATTTGATATTGGGGAGCAAATTAATATTAAGGGCTCATAATTTAACTCAAAGTTGATAGGAAAAACTGAACATATGTCATAAGTTAATGGGGAATTGTTAAATTCTCCGATTTTTTTTTTTTAATTTTTTTAATTTTTTAATTTTTTTAATTTTTTTTGTAATACAAGTTAAATTTTTATAGAATTATAGCCAAATCCCTAAATTTGATATGTCTCGTAAAAATTTTAATTGAAGGTACTTTGATACAACTTTCTTACTCTTTCAATTATATGTAATGGACCAGGGAATTAATGGAACAACGCAGCCTGGCCCTTGTGATAGCCCAGTTGTAAGTCACACCGGCAGTCAAAATTCTTTTGAACTATTGCTATTTCTGAAGTGAGCTTTTTTCAATGTTGCTTGAAATGTTCTGCTTACAGATTAATTTTCTGTCGCAGGCCATAAGATTTTTCATGAGCTCCAATTTGAGAGTGCAAGGACTCAAAGTTAAGAACAGCCCCCAGTTTCATTTTCGGTTCGATAACTGTCAAAACGTCCACATAGAATCACTTACCATAAAAGCACCTGCTTTGAGTCCCAACACAGATGGAATTCACATAGAGAACACAAACAATGTGAAACTGTACAATTCACTCATCTCCAATGGTAATTACACAAAAGCAGCTTCCGATTCAACATGTCATTCTCCGCTCTCCGATCTCTCAAAAACTCAGCCTGATCTTGGGTTTTAATTCTTCATGTAGGTGATGACTGCGTCTCAATAGGAGCTGGTTGTTACAATGTAGATATTAGGAACATTACTTGCGGCCCAAGTCATGGAATAAGGTACATCCAATGCTCCAAAGCTCAAATAGGATGGTTTCTAAAGTTTAATTCTACCCTAATTCTCCTTCTTCCTACAGTATTGGAAGTCTAGGGAATCTCCATTCTCGAGCATGTGTTTCAAATATTACCGTGAGGGACTCGATCATCAAGCACTCTGACAATGGGGTTCGGATCAAAACTTGGCAAGGCGGATCAGGGTCAGTGTCAAGGATAACATTCCACAACATTCACATGGACACCGTTCGAAACCCGATTTTATTAGATCAGTACTATTGCCTCACCAAGAACTGCCCTAACCAAACCTCTGCAGTTCAGATATCTGATATTTTGTACACAAACATAAAAGGTACATACGACGTCAGAAGCCCGCCAATGAATTTTGCTTGCAGTGACTCCATGCCGTGCACAAATCTCACTCTCTCTGAAGTGGAACTGTATCCTGCTCAAGGAGTATACGTGGCGAACCCTATTTGCTGGAGTGCTTATGGAACAGTGCAGAGCCTTACAATTCCACCTGTTTTCTGCTTGTTGGGGGGGACACCGCAAAGGTTGCCACAGAATGATAATGAAAGGTGTTAACTAATGTGGATCAAATTGTAATGCCAAGTAAACTTAGATACATATATATATATATATATATATATATATATATATATATATATATATAAGTCATAGCTATATAAAATTACAAGTGACTGAGAGTCTATAAATCTCTCTTATATAGTAGCATATGGTGTGGAATGTTTAAGGGATTTTTCCCTTGAATTATATTTTTGTGCGTTTGTACTTAAAATCCAGCTTGCTATAATGGGTTTGATCTATTTGATTTAAATTAATTAATTGTTTAGCCCAATTCCAAGAGTATCTCCAAGATATAGTCTACAAATTTCCTTACGATAAAACACCGTTGAACATAGAACCTCAGACACAATTGTTAATGATCTTAACTGGCTGAGCTTTAAACTTCTTAGAAATAGTAGAGGGATGTTAATGATATACTATTGTGAAAAATTTATATCCTAAACGCATAAAGTAATTAGAAATGACTTTAAGAAAAAGTGATTCCACACAGCACTTTTTTTCTATCTGCAAACCGCTTTTATTCATTTGCTGAAATCATTTCTCATTTTTATATTAAGAGGTAGATCGGGTTGATTCAATAAAATTGGTATAAATAAGTGACAACTGCATCTGTTTAACTAGCTGTATTTAGCACATGATCATCACATGATCATCGTAGATTATAGTTGACTAAAAAACTAGCCCCGGCCCCCAGTCTAATTTAAGAATGTTGGCTCAAAGAGGGTGTTTAGATTGGTCTAAATGGGGGACCATAGGGGCTGGAATAAAATGTAGCATAGGTCATAAAGGACCACCTCACATATTATATTTCTAAGTAGATAAACCACTGCCATTGCCATAAAGGTAGTAGATTTGTCCAGCCATGGGGCATATAATATCTTCTCTCCACTCTTCTTATCAACTCATACAGTAGTTCTGATTGTTTATTGCTAAAGTATTGCTACATGGAAAAGTCTTTGCCTTTGCTGTTTCAATTTGTTTCCATTCCCGTCAATAATTTAGGGGCCGTGTGATAGCCATTACGTTTCAGTAAAATGAAAACTGAAAGCCAATATGATTACTAAACCGGCCCTTGGTCATTTGATTTTGGTTCCTTCACTTATTTTACCCTTTTTTTTTTTTTTTATCAATTAGATTACACTGTAAAAGATGGAGTTCATAAAAGTAGTGGTAAGCTCATGAGCAGACTGGGATGTCATTCACAAACTGGATTCGAATTTCGGCATGTTACCGAAAGTTTCTGGAAAAGACATGAAAATACATCATAATTAAGAATGTTCTTTCAATACAGTTTCTCTCAGATTACGCCTTCTGATTATTCGAGCATTTCTATTTACGAAGCGTTGATCCACCGTAATTAACATGGCAACTCCAAGCTGGCTTACAATCAAGCTCTTTGGCATACAGGTGTGGTTGGAGGAGTGTACTAGCATAATGAAGCAAGTACCTCTAGCAAGGAAGCAGCAAACTGCATTTGGGTCTCCACGTCTATGGTCAAGAAGAGAGGCACATGAACAAAGAGTGACTTGATCCCGTTTTGCTCTGCAAATCGAAGGGAATGGTAGTAGACGTAATTGCACACAAACCGACCTGCATCATCCGAGGTCATCACCTCATAACCCTTCTTTGCCAAGGCCTTCGTTATTTCCTCAACGGGAAGAGAAGTCTGCACAGAATCAGAACAGAAATACCTTCAAGACTGATGAAAATGAGGAGTCATGCACTTATCAGTCATACACGAATACCAAATAAGACCTGCGAATCTACGATTGCATTAACCATCATTATAGTATTGAAGTTGTACAACCATTCAGGGTATAGTCATCACTTCGCAGTTTCCTTTATTCATCATGCACAGGAATGACTCTATTCCAAAAGGGTGGCTCCATGCCATCACACTAATCCGGAAAAAGAAACGAAATAATATATGTTCTATGACATCCTTTTCATAAAAACAAGTTTTATATGGAACAAGAATCCCGACACAAAAAGATTACTCATGATTGTAGATACTGTAATCTATGGGCTTCCAACAAGGAAGAAAATGCTTTAAGGTATAAACTCGACCTATTTTTAAAGACAACTTAAGTTCTCCAAGCAGGTATTCTTTAAGTAATCAACCTGAAATTAAAACGATATATGAAAGTCCAGGAGAAATTACAAGAAATTTCAAAGAAACATCTAATCAAAGATACATGACCACTCATTCTACCTCTCGTATATGTGCAATTCCACCATCTGAAGGAATAATCGGAACTTTCTGCAAAACAGATGATTAAAGTTTAAAAAATCTGAACAATGTTGAAGACCTCTAAAATAAAATCCCAATTAACTAGAGAACAAACCCTTTGAGTTCTGTCTAACCTGAGGCTTCCATCCCATTTCATCAGGGCAACGGAAAGTAGCTTCATTGACCGCTTGGTGCTCGAGAGCAAACTTTGTTGCACCACTATTAACACCAAAGTGTAACTATACAAAGATAGTCCAAATTAAGAAAGGGTAAGATAAGGGACACATGAATACATACACGGAAGTACTACGCTCAAACCAATTAAATTCTCTCGGACTGATGTTATGGGAAACTTTGTTATATGTTAAAAGTTCTAGAAAAATCATTAATATATTGCACACATGCATTTTCTCTCGGACAAAAAATTAAGAAACAATGGAACAGACATGAGAGCAACTGACCCAAATAGTTCTGCTGGAATTTGAAGTATCCTGCTCACTGATAGCAGATCGCAATGTCTGGTACAGGGTGACAAGTGCTCCTTGTCCTGCAGTCTCAAGAATGCTGCAACTTCCAAGAACCAGACCTTTTGGTGAACCCTTCTTCTTCACATACTCCGGGAGATTACTGACAATTGTCTCAGTTGGATTCTCCGAAACTCCGTGGAATTTCTTAAAACCGGTCACATGAATAGTTACTGGCGAAGGCCCTTCAGACCCCATTTGTCAGTTTTTAATATGTAATTGATGTATGTGTTATAGCATCAAATCAGAAATATATCTAAGTACCTGTATCAAAAAATCAAAAATGAGCAAACGAAATGGAGAGGTATAACTATAAACACACGAGCACGTTTAGAAAGTTTTGGTCTGCAATCAACATGCTTTCCTAAACAAACACATGGATTCCATTTGTGTCATTGAAAGAATTCACAGCCCGTAACGTTTTTATTTATAAAACTCATTGGTCACTCTAAAATCTGAAAGCTGATTGTTAACATCATTATATCAACGCTCTTCCTCAAAATTTTGCTCGTATTTTACTAGTTAATACCCTGATGGCACCGTTAAACAGTTACATGATTTCATTTCAAATCATTGAAAGAATTCAGACCTCGTAACGGTGTTATCCATAAAACTCATTGGTCACTCTAAAATCTGAAAGCTGATTGTTAACAGATGCATTATATCAACCCTCTTCCTCGAATTTTGCTTCGTATCATACTAGTTAACACCATAATGTAATATTTAAACAATTATATGGCTGGATACTGCAAAAGCAGTTAAATTTCAATCAATCGATAGTCTAGCAATCACAACAGCAATATTTGATGAGACTGCATTCAAAATTTGAAAAACAAAACAAGTTTCGATTCGAAAAGCAGCAGGAAATGCAAAATCGGGAATTCAACATGGCCAGAAACTAAACCAGCTGACAAACAACAAAAAAATTTAATCCAAGAAAAACAGGAGAACCCAGTATTCAACAGCAGATGAAGATCAAATATCAAGGGCAATCAACAAACTTAAAAAACAAGATGATATGAAATTATGAAAGCAATCAGAACCCCAAATTGTACACAGAAAACCCAATTGGAATCGAACAGATGATGATATATATATATCGAAGAACCCAGAAATCTACCTTGAAATAAAAGCATGCATGATTATATATTCTGAAAATTATACAACATAAATAGATAAAAGTTGGAGAGTTTTTTTTCTTGCCTGTAATCTTCCCAAGCCTCTCACCCACCAGTCTTATCTGCTCAAAGATGATTTATTTACAACCCCTCTAAGATTCTAAATAGATTGATTAGAGGAAGGGGGGAGAGAGAGAGAGAGAAGGGGAGGAGAGAGAGACAGAGAGAGGGTAGAGAGATTGAGGAACGTGTTAGTGGAGGGTCACTATCAAAGAACAAAAAAAACAGAGTAGAAATGATTATAGATGAAATTATTGTTAATTGAGATTAAAATATTTGGTAGTGAAGGACTTCGGATAGTATGCAATGGAGACATTTTCTGATGTGCATGAACGTTGAACAATTTTTTTACGGAAAATTCAATTCTAACCCTTGTCTAAGATTACTTTTTGAATAAAAACTTATCTAAGATTAAAAACTAATTCTTATCCTTGGCATTTAATTGTAATTTTTTAATATTAAATATGTTGTAATAATTATTAAATTTTTTGTTTGTAGGTTATATATTGATTCCCATAAATAATAAAAATGTTATTTATCATCGATAGTTATTATTAAGTGCTCATAATAAGAAAAGTCATATATTATCATGTATTTTTAGATACTATATGAAAATCATATATTTCTCCATATATATGTATATGCATATTACGTATATATGTATGTTTAGATACTATAGTTACGTACCGATACATTTATACCGACATATTTGTACCGAAAGTTATGTACCAATATATTTTTTAACAAAACTTACGAACCGATACTTTTGTATCTATGAGTAATATAAGGTACCTAAAATTATGTACTGAAACTTATGTATCGATACTTCCGTACCTATGAATAAAATAAGGTATCGAATGTTATGTATAAATTGATTTTGTTTTGTTCTTGAATTTTTTTAATAATGAGAATTTGAATTTTGAATAAATTTTAATCTATTAATATGATTAGAGCACAAAATAAAAAACATAATTATGGATGGGTAAAGAATTTTCGATAAGTTTATAAATAATAAATGTGTTATAATTACTTAAATATGGTAAGTTTTAAAAATAGAGATTTATATTAGATTTTGAAAAACCATTCAGGTTAAAATCTAAAAACAATCTTATTGAAGCCCTAAAATCTAAAAGCCCTTTTTTTCTAAGCGTTCTTTCACTTATATTATGACATATAACATGTGCGTTCATATTTAGAATACACTGAAACTAATGCAGCAATAAAAAAGCGAATCAGTTGATTAATAAATCTGGATACCGATCCTCAAATGGAGAACAAATGTTAAAACAAAAACACATGAAATGCATTATGGATGGGTAAAGAATTTTCGATAAGTTTATAAATAATAAATGTGTTATAATTACTTAAATATGGTAAGTTTTAAAAATAGAGATTTATATTAGATTTTGAAAACCATTTAGGTTAAAATCTAAAAACAATCTTATTGAAGCCCTAAAATCTAAAAGCCCTTTTTTCTAAGCGTTCTTTCACTTATATTATGACATATAACATGTGCGTTCGTATTTAGAATACACTGAAACTAATGCAGCAATCAAAACGCGAATCAGTTGATTAATAAATCTGGATACCGATCCTCAAATGGAGAACAAATGTTAAAACAAAAACACATGAAATGCATAACTTTTTCTTGCAGATTCGTTGATTGTCAAAGACAATACCGAATTTCACAAGTCCTAAACCTCTTGTTGATTCACCAAGAATACCAAGAAGTTTATCACACGAGTGTGGTTGATTCTCTGCACGAGAATGGCCAATGATTGTTGGGGTGTCTATACCTTATTAATTCTGTTGGAATATCCGAGTTGATAGATTAATAACTAAAATGAGAAAACTATCTCAAATTGCACTCAATTTTCAATTCAATTCATCATAATCTTCCCCCCTAGAATACAAAATACTCATAATTTATAAAAACTCTAACCCCCTCTTAATAATTACTGATACATGCATCATTACTAAAGTTAATGAACTTATTAATATCAACCCCACTTAATTTACCCCACCAACATATATTTATTACATTAAATAAAGATTGAGTCATCCTGCATCAGAAACTCTCTCCATGCCATGCACCACATATTTGCACAAATTCTTTATTGGTTTTTGACAACTGTTAAATTAGGTAAGAAACTTTCTTTTTTGTTCTACCTCTCTTTGTTTATCCAAAGATTTGTCGTTTATTGTTGTTATTGGGATAATTTTGGACCTACCGTCGAAAAATTAGTTGCTAGACTCAAAGATTCCTTCTTTGCTAACACCAATTATTGTACTGAGAACTGTTTTGGGGAATAATGTATCACAGCCAATATGTATTATGTAAGTTTGTAGCTCATGAAAATGATTGAAACTCATAACACATCACTTTTCTAATCTTCGTCTAGCGCCGCCTAGCTTCCACTCAAGCGTTAAACGGCTGATCATCGTCTCGATTAATCTCTAGGCATTTGAAAATTAAGAAAGCGCACCTCGACCTCCTTAGGCATCAGCCTACTTCGCCTAGGCACCTGTCTTCCCTACCTAGACCCTTCTAGGCACCCGGCTAGGTTGCTACTCTCACTTTGACAAAAAATCGATAAATTTCATTTGCATTTTATTTTATTTTTGTTCAATATATATATGTCTTTTTATTTTACAATTTTTGTATCCCAATATAATGATTTATTTTTTTAAGTATAAACAAACACTTATTTATATGATATACATATATATACTTAAACCCACCTAGACCTTGCTTAGGCGCTGCTAAGCCATAGTCTACCGCCCGACTAGCACCTAACATCTTTTAGAACCTTTAGCACATGTGATTTACAATAATTGATCGCACCAACTTCAATTAGAAAAATAATTGCTTATCACGTTATAAATACGTGAAAATACGATTGTGAGAGTGCATCATATGAGCTTGTTTCATGTGAAGTTTTTGATATCCGTATTTTAAATTAATTATGCACTGTTATGTGTTCGTATTTTTACATTAAAATACATAATTAACTTAAAACATCACCAATGTAAACATCTCATAAGTTCTCTCTTTAGCAGCATGGAGAAATTTTTCATTATGATCGGAACATGGATAGTATATCACGTGTTTTTATATAAGTGGTGAAAAATTGTATTTTTTTAAGTTATTAACTTTTTAACACATATATTCCACAAGTTGTATAATGACAAGTGGTGTACCACCTGTGTTCCGATCACATTGAAAAATCTTTCAACTGCATGATCTATTATTACAAAGGAATTTTAATAAAATATTTCTGATACTATTCACTTTAACCTAAACAACTCCTGCTCACGTGGTGCAAATGTGCCCATGGAATTTATTGAAGAAACCTACAACCCAACCCAAACAACTACTGCTCATCCAATTCAATGACAAATCCCCCATTTTTCCTACTATTTTTTTCCGGACAAGGACAAACCAACAAAGCCCCTAGCTTTAACTAGACGACAAATCAGAAGTACGCGAACATGACGTATCCAAGACAAGTAGACAACTATGACTATGACAGATAACGTAGTACAGACCAAATCTAACAGTCTCCCTCCCATCACAGCCGTCCATTTTCTCACCTGGCCCAATCATTTCCGGGTTCATCCCATCAGCATATATCAACCGTACGATTAACCCCACAGAGTCACTGGTCGTTTTATCCGGTGCATCCGAAATGATAAACGTTTGGTTACAATCGTCCCCTTTATTTTTTTCTTCGGGGACAGACAGTCACAGAACAGAAGCTTAAACGACATTAAAAACCGAGCTGTGGTAAAGGAGGTCAAGGGATGTCAATGTCGTTTTCAGCTGTCTCATTGCCATCCTCAGCTTCAAGGCCACCAAGCAATCTCTGCTTCACTGCTTACCAATTCTCTTTTGGGGTGGGTTCTTCTCTCAACCGTCGATATATATTTTCCTGTATTTCTATATTTGTATATGCTGCTCTACTTTATTCTTTGTGTGTATTTATGTCGCTAAGTGTTGTGCTTCGTGAAACGGGTGTTTGGTTTCTAAGAAAATAGGAGAGAATCAGTGAAAATTTTGGATTTTTAAGACTGGAAAAGGGAAAATTGGACATGGGAAATTTTCTGTTTGTTTTCTTGTTCTGTGTTTTTTTGGAGGGAACCAAGCTGAATTGATGAAATGGGGTGTTTGGTGTCTTGGAAAATGGGAGTGAGGCAGAGAAAAGTCTGATTTTTCAGACTGAGAAAAGCAAAAAATGGATGTCAAATTTGTTTTTCTTTGCTTAATCCATTGTTTTTTGGGAAACCTAACTGAATTTATAACTCAGGTAGTGGAAAAAGAGGACTATTGTGAATGGGGTGGTGAAATTTTTAGTCTTTGAGGAAGATGGAGTGAGGTCAGGATGGTTTGAACCTCGGTTTGGCAAGACGATATTCTAAACTACTCTATTCGACTCTAATCTTGGTGCGTATTTATCTGGTTTTCTTTGAAAATGAAAAGAATCATATTTGGTCTCCTTAGATTCTAGAGGGAATAAGAAACTGAAAAAAGGGATTTTGCGAGGATATTTGGTCTCGTGTTTAGTTGCTTCATTCTGTTTAATTAGCCAGAAGAAGGAATGGGGCCGGGCCGGGAGTGTATTATCCTAGGTTTTTCAGGTCTGTCCTAACCGGGTTTCATCAGTACAAATGTGAAAGATGAACACAGATAAAGCATGAAAAGAAATGAAACTAAGGAATTTTGTTTCTGTTTGGTTGTATATAGGCTCCAGCAAACTTCTTCCGTTCTGGATCAGGTGGGCGAGTTGTGCTCCATGGAGGGCCTCACCATTTCTGCCGAAAATTTTGTGGCTTAAAACGATGGATACTAGAAAACCTACACAGTCAACATCATAAGATGAAAATTGGACCTACAAATGAGTATAAGAGCATAAAAAATGAAGTCAAAGATCACTTAACGGATCATTCTTATTCGACTTTATCACATGAAGGTATGCTCTATAATTGGTTGAGGTCCTTGAGGATTAGTAATATAAGAATTGGTATTTTTCAGTTACTTATCTTTTCCTTCCATAGTGAAATCTTTTTAGATTCTACTTGTGTCTCCGCAGATTCCAATGATCGAACTACAAAAATAACTTTGCAACTTGAAGAAAGTTCTTTGCCAAGTTCCAAACCACATGATTCTGTAACAGGGCCTACTACTTCTTTAGAATCTCCTTCCATACCACAAACACATTCCTCCGAGTTTCTCATTGAGGGTGGTGCAGAAGCCTCACTCTGTATTGCGGTCATAGGAGCAACTGGCGAACTGGCGAGGGGAAAAATTTTCCCGGCACTTTTTGCTCTGTATTACAGCGGCTTTCTTCCAGAGGTATGATGACTTTGATATCTATGTAAGCTGGGCCTTTAGCATAAGAGTAAATATAACATTGGTATGTACACTGAAGATCTTGTTTGGTGAAGAATAAAGTTATCCAAACTTGTTTGACATTTCAATAAGTGAAAAAGGGCTTTGGCTTCTCACTTTTTTTTAAATTTGGCTGCAGAATGTTAGTATATTTGGTTATTCAAGAAAGGATATGACAGATGAAGACCTGAGATCCATGATTGCGTCAACTTTGACTTGTCGTATCGACCATCAGTATGCTTCTTGTGTATCCGCAAATTCCATGCCATCTGTTCTAGTCTTAAATTCTTTTCATGTTTAATTGGATCCATCCACAAAGGGCTTAAATTTGTCTGAATATTTAGCTTACCATGGTAAGTACGTTCAAATTTTCCTCTCAGAGAAAACTGTGGAAACAAAATGGATGTCTTCCTTAGTCGAACACACTACATTAATGGAGGCTATGACAACAGAGAAGGGATGTCAAAGCTCAATGTGCTGATGCAGCAGTTCGAGGTAAAAATTATGCTCAGATATTAAGAAAAAAAATTCTTGTCTTATGTGGATCTTATATGACTTTTGAAATTACTAGGTGGATGCTTTTGATAATTGGTTCTTTAACAGTTAACCTACCTCAGGGAAAATCTGAAGCAAACCGGATATTTTACCTTTCTGTGCCGCAAGAAGCACTTATAAATGTTGCGTGTTCACTCGCTGATAATGCGCAAACCCTGAAGGGCTGGAATCGTGTAATTGTTGAGAAACCTTTTGGCTTTGATGTATTATCATCTCATCGGTTGACGCAGTCTCTTCTTTCAAAGTTTGAAGAAAAACAAATCTACAGGTCTTTGGCACTCCGTTTGTCTTTTCTACACATCACACTGACACGGATGATTAGTGTTGTCCATTCTCGTATTGATAGTCTCTTATTTCAGGATTGATCATCTTTTAGGAAGGAACCTTATCGAAAATCTCACAGTTTTAAGGTTTGCTAATCTAGTATTTGAGCCGCTGTGGAGCCGTACATACATACGCAATGTACAGGTAACTTATCTCAATAATATATTCATCTAATGAAACCTGATGTCTTTGATGTATATAAAACACTTGGATCGTGTTGCAGGTCATTTTATCAGAAGACTTGGGTGTCCAAGCGGGAAAGTAATCCTGATGGCTGTATCGTTGTTCTTTTAATACATATTAACGCAATTAGAACCACCTATGATAATTCATTTTCTTGTTTTTTTATGAAGGTACTTTGATGGTTACGGCATCATTCGTGACATAGTACACAGTCATATACTTCAAACAATAGCATTGCTTGCCATGGAACCACCAATAAGTCTGGATGGGGAAGATATACGAAATGAAAAGGTACTTGCTTGTTATACTCATTTGTAATGCCGATAGTGTTTCTTATGACTAGCTAATTCCTTTCAGGCCAAACTTTTGAGATCAGTTCGGAAATTGGAACCTAGTGATGTTATTCTTGGTCAATATAAAGGAAGTACTAAGGATGAGGTTGATGTTTATATGAACAGCCTGACGCCCACATACTTCGCTGCTGCATTGTACATTGACAATGCACGTTGGGATGGCGTACCTTTCCTGATCAAAGCTGGCATGGGACTCATCCAACACAGGTTGCATCTATCTCAGTGCTTCTTTATACTAAAACTTTATCATATTAGTCAAAACATTTATAGCCCACTTCCCGAATGCTCTGAGTTCGATGGTTCATAAAATGCAGATTTAAAATTAGGATGTTATACTGGTTAAAATATTCTGTTTATGTTAAGAGCCATATATATGTCCAGGGAAGTTAGAAATCTAGCTTAATTACGGTGTCATCTCAGTCAATTCTTGGAAGTGGATAAATATAAGTTTATTCTTAAAGATAGTTTTGGTAGAGAGCCGTAGGGGGGCGAATAGACTTGTTTTTCTTTTTCTAGCTGTGGCCTACTGGGACATATATGATATATCCGTAGATAGTAAATTCCAAAAGTGAATATATTTCGTTTACATGCAGCTTTTAGTGTATTGATTAGTGAAGAGATAAGATTTACCTTAACAATTTCTAATCTTCTTACTGAATACAAACTGTGCAATGCAGAGTGGAGATACGTATACAGTTTCGTCACGTTCCAGGAAATCTTTATCGTGAGCGTATGGGGCACAATATTGACCGTGCTACCAATGAGCTGATTCTGCGTGATACCCCTGATGAGGCCATCCTAGTCAGAGTTAACAATAAGATTCCGGGATTGGGGTTGCAGTTGGATTCTCCGGAACTGAATTTGCTCTACAAGGACAAGTAAGCACTCTAATATTTGCATGTTTTACTACAATTGTAGTTGGTAACTTGGTATGATTTAAATTCATGTGCTTATTATTGGTCATGGCAGGTATAATGTGGAAGTGCCTGATTCATATGAGCATCTCCTTCTTGATGTCATTGACGGAGACAACCACCTCTTTCTGAGAAGCGACGAGCTTGCTGCTGCGTGGAACATTCTAACTCCAGTTTTGAATGAGATAGACAAGAAAAATATAGCACCGGAGCTGTACCAGTTTGGGGGTCGAGGTCCGGTTGGAGCTTACTATCTCTGGGCAAAACATGGGGTTCCGTGGGCTGAGGACTAGCAACCTAGAACTTCTGTTGGTCTTTTCCTCTTGAACAAACACATTATTGGCATTGGAATTTTTTTTGGATTTTTTCTTCACCTTGTGGTATTTACCTTCATTTCTCGGTGTTTCAAAATACTTAAATATGCCCCCTTCAAATCTATAATTTCAAAAATGGCGAAGTTTAATGAACTAGGGCTAAAATGGTTAAAATAAAAGCTAAATTAATTGCCCACGTTTTGGTATGTTTCTACTAAGGTTAAGGTTAATGTTAGAGAGGCTCAATTTATAGATACAATTTGCAGAAACCAATTGATGCGTCATCAGTAAGAATTTGATTTTTTTTATTCCTTTTTAGTGTCATATTTTTATTAATAAAAATCTAAAAAGATGGATAAAATAACGAAACCAAAATAAAATAAAATAAAAAGGAAAGAACTCCAAAATAAAACAACTTGTGGTAGTGGCAGCACAATAGATGTGTAGCCATGCACAAGAAATCAATCTTCAACGGTTTCTCTGTTATTTCCACGCAAAACTCTCTTCTACTTTCTGTTTCGCATCTTTTCTCTAGCTCGATATTTCCCTCCACATCTCTCATTCTCCGATCTCTCTCATTCTCTCTTCAATACTTTGGCCACTCTCTCTGTCTCTCTGTGTGTCTTATTTACTTCAGAAAAACCTCGACGGTAGGAGAGGGAGTTCTCTCTCTCTCGATTTCTCCCTCTCTGTAGTACAAATTACAAGTAGCTAGGGTTCTGTAGAAATGGCTGCCTTTAGCGCCTACATGCCATTCATGGCCATGGTGTTGGTCCAAGCGAGCTATGCAGGAATGAACATTATTTCAAAGCTTGCTATTGAATCTGACATGGACCCTCTTGTTCTTGTTGCTTATCGTCAAGTTTTCGCGGCCGTTGCCATTGCTCCCTTAGCTTATTTGTTGGAATGGTAAAGTGAACATCTGTTAGTCTTGTTGCATGTCACTAAATTCTCTTAGGGTTTAAGTTTGATTTCATGCACCAACGACTCTTTCAAAAATTTTGTTTTCTATCTGGTATTTGTGGCCGAATGTTTTCCTTCTGTCGAACGCAAGTTTTAATGGAATTTTTTGTCTCCTGCATGTAAGTTGCTTAAGTTTATTTGAGTCAAATAGTCTCAAATTTTCAATATATATGATAAGTCTTGGCCTGGATTTTTCTATTATTCTTAAAAGAACAATTTTTGTTATATATAAACAACTAATTTTTTTTTATGTTCGGTTTGTCTATATATGTTCACTGAAAACAAGTAGAAGAAAAGAGGAGAGAATAGAATGATCAGATTTTTATCTTCTTTTACTTTTGCTATTAACAAATAGAAATTTAGCTTTTGAAATGATATAGAAATTGTATTTTCAGTTAGAGTAGCCATTTTTGCACTCATTTTTATTATTATTTGCACTTTAAACTAAAATGGTATGATACTTTCTCTGCACACATGAGGATTGATTTCGTTATTGGATAATTTAGCTTAGGCTAAAAAAGTGTTAAAAGTGCCTAAGCCTTTCTTTCCGTCCTTCACTACTTTTTCTCCCAACTTTCGATCTGATTTCATTACCTGTGGATTTTAATTTTACTCAAATAAAAAGCACTTAACTTTTTAATTAAAAGTTAATTAGGTCTGATGAACTCTGGTGAACGTATTTAATTAGGTCTGAACTCTGGTGAACGTATTTAATTAGGTCTGATTTTGGCATTGAGCTAGGCACGCAATAAACGCAGAAAGCCAGCCATGCATGAAAAGTGTGTCAACTTTCTTTTGCAGTCTTTTTTGGGTGCTTAATTTAACGTGGAGATGCTTCCAAAAAAAAAAAAAAAAAAAAATTAACGTGGAGAAATTTTTCAATGTAATCGGCACACGAAGTGGTACATCATGTGTCACTATACAAATGATGGGATATGTGTGTTAAAAAGTTAATAACTTAGAAGATAAAATTTTCTATCACTTACATAAAAACAAGTAGTGTACCACCCGTGTTCTCATCACAATGAAATTTTTCTCTTTAATGTGCCACTCGTAACTGGCTCAAGGTGGCAGCACCCTTGCATGGTTGCCATGTCATGTTTAACCATTTGTCCCTTCCTTCTTCTTTGCTTAGCTCTAGGCCATAGCTACTTACTAGCTTGGTCCCGACCTCTCATGGCTGCATGCTATTTTATTAGTAATCTTATTTCATATACACAGCTGGTAAATCAGTAAGATTAAGGCTTAAGCATCCACCGATGGGATGCATTGATGCGACACATGTCCACCATTTGCGATATATGTATTTTAATTAAACAAATATTATAATTAAACTCGTTTATGTTCTTAATCATCATTTATGTTCACCTCTATGTGACTATGTCATAAAAAATATACAAAATAAATGAATGTTATTTGGTACCAACAATGTCTATTTGTTTTATGCATACAAATCACTAAATTGATTTTTCAATTTAATCAATACTTAATAGAGATGATCTATAGATGGATCATATTAAAAAAAAAATGGTCTCCATTATGAAATTTTTACTGGTAAATACGTTGGTTGCAAAAGAGTGAATAAGGTGGTGTGCAAGTATTTTCTTAACAATAATATAAAAGGAGAAAAAGAAGGATATGATAATTCATAATACCAGTTTCTTTAATTTTCTTATTACAGTTTAGAGAAAGTTTCTTTACACACATCATGTTTTATACGTTCTTTCTTAATTTCTAATAGGAAAACAAGACCCAAGATCACATTGGCTATTCTTTTCCAGACTTTTCTGTGCTCATTAACTGGGTAATTAAGTGTGTTAATTTGTTCTTAATTTAATAATATGAAATATATTATGTAGATGTGCATCACTGCAAAACAGTTAATTCACTTAATTAAGTGTATTAACATGAATTAAAATGCAGGGCCACTGCAAATCAGGTTTTTTATTTTCTCGGTTTGAAGTCTTCGACCGCAACGATTGCATGCGCATTGACAAACACACTTCCAGCCATGACATTTATCCTTGCAGTCATTTTCAGGTACTATATATAGTATTACTACTAATTAATATGTTATTTTTTTAGCTTAATTAGTTATTAGTTATGTTTAACACTAATGGAATGTTTAATTTAATTTTGCAGACAAGAATCTGCAAAGCTCAAGAGCAAACCAGGGCTATCTAAGGTGATGGGAACAATTGTGTGTGTATCTGGAGCTATGTTACTTTCATTTTACCATGGACACATCATTGGTCTAAGTGAGTCCAAAATTCACTGGACTTATGCTCAGAGAATGGGAGAGGCAAGTTCCAGCACCAAATCAAGCTCCTTTATAGGCCCCCTATTTGTCATCTTAAGCACCTTAGGTTGGGCATTCTGGTTCATAATCCAAGTAAGTAACTGATCATCATCACCCTCTTGCATTTTCGTGTGTTATTAGTTTCGGCATGTATAGAAATAGGAATGATATGTACTCGTCTGATGACAATCAATGTTGTGATGAGCATTGTCATCATTTATAGGTGACGAACAAAAATGAACTCTAAAATTAGTGCTACAATTTTTATTTAGCTAAATTATAGCTATAGACGCTAATATATATTGGGAATTGTTTTATTGTTGTTGAAATCGAATATTAGCTGTTCCCGTCCTCCAATATAATTTCAGGCTAGAGTTGGGGAAAGCTTTCCAGCTCCTTATACAAGCACCACATTGATGTGTTTGATGGCCAGCTTTGAGTGCGGGATCATTGCTGTAATTGCTGATCACAAAGTGGCTTCATGGTCGCTAAAAGATCCCACGAGACTTATTGCATCCCTCTATGCTGTATGCACTAACTCTTCTCTTGCTTAAACTTATTCTTCAATTTTTAATCATTAGATTATTAAGGTACAAGTGTAATAAAGTTAGAAATACAATTAGAAAGGTTGTTAGTATTTGGTTAAAGTAGTTAGGATTTCTCTTATAAAAACAGTGCGTGTAATCTTCATTTACTTAGTTAATACAAATGTTATTTCTCTCTCTATACACTCTCTCTCATATCTCTGTGTTCATCCTTTTGTTCATCCTTTCTTCTTGATTTTCCCTACAATTCCCAAACATTGCAATGTAGTTAACATAGATTAGCTAATTAATTAATACTAACTAATTCATGAGCACAAAAACTAATATTTACAGGGAATTATGGGTTCTGCACTAGCATTCTTCCTCTCTTCATGGAGTATTCAGCAAAAAGGCCCTCTTTACGTGTCGGTGTTTAGTCCCTTGCTCCTCATTATTGTTGCCATTGCAAGCTGGGCTTTGCTTGAGGAGAAATTATACGTTGGAACGTATGTATACATACAGTTTCAGTTTCATTTTTTTGCAATGAGCTAAACCAAATTTCCTATTAATTAATTGACTTGGATAATCTCATATTAAGATACTAATTAGCTTGGTTCATATTTTACTTGATTTAGTGCTGTAGGGTCGGTTTTGATTGTTGCCGGGCTCTATCTTGTTCTGTGGGGGAAGAATAAGGAGACGAAGGATGAGAAGCCAGCAAAAGCAACAGGCATGACAAATATGACAGATCAGGCCAAGGCTTATGAGAAAAACGACTTGGAGCTGCAGCTGCAAGGGCATTCGGAAAGCAACCGTGACGTTATGGAATAGAGAGAGGAGATCGATCAAGACAACAGATTACAACACCAGATCCGAAAGCTCACAATCTGTTACATTGTATCTCTATGCCACCATTTCATTTCCATCAAGAAGTCGTCCATGAATAGTCCTCCCATCACAATATATAGCATGGTAGTATATAGTATAAAGCCATGCATCATGCATTTGAAAGTTTCTGTGATGAACTTCAACGAACCCTAATCTCATCTCATGTCAATCATTTATGTTACTTCGAACGATTAAGCACCGCAACTTGTAGACTCAAGTGACTCATAGGAGGCGGAACACGAATGTCCTCAACGACGAATGACCATCGTCTCATTCGTCTCGTTGTCCATATCTTATCCAGTGTTGAGAGTAAAATTTCACTCTTGTCGTTGTAAGGGTTGTGGATGATGGCTTTGAGTTCCTTATCGTCCTTAGTGTAGGTGTCCTTGAAGATAGTCCGCTAGCAAAGGATAGTGTCGTTATTGTTGCTGTGCATGGAATTTGAAATTGGATGCTTGGCTACAAAGTTAGGGCTATTGATTAAATCTTGCAACGTCTTGCTTGTGCATTTGAATCAGGTTAAAGATTTAATTAGGTCACAATCTTAACAGGATTTGCACCATCATTTTTTCAGGCAATTTACACAACTTTGCCGTCTCTCCTCTGATTTTTTTTTTTTTTTTTTTTTATCTTCAAACTATATTCTGTTTGTAGGTGTCACATTATACATGTACACACATCAAGAAGTTTCATTTACTATACATCTGACTTTAATTAATTCAATTGTTGGACTGAGGAAATCTTAAAAATTAATACAATGGATGATCAATTTGAGATAATGTCACAGTAAGATTTTCATTATAAATAAATTTAAAAAAAAATCCACACTGTGTAGCTGTGTGAAAAGTTTTGAAATTTTATGGGAGCAAATGAGTAGAGAAATGTGGATTAGTTTTGTTTTATTTTGGAGAGAGAAAAAAAAAGTTCAAAAACAACTCAATAAATTATTCACAAATAGTTGGAGTCTTATGAGCTCCTGTCATATCATCAAATAAATAACTCCAATTGTGAAGACCGTCTAACACAAAGTTGTTCTTCTGATAGGCATGAACCAACTCGCAATCTGCTATATATATCATAAATTGCAAGTTATAGACCAAAATAAAGCCTCAAAAAATACTTTTGTTTATTGCAAGTTAGAAACCAAAATAAAGACTCGAAATACTTTTGTTTATTGCAAGTTACAGACCAAAATAAAGCCTCAAAAAAATAAGAGAACGGGCTTCTGATTATGGGCTCCGTTGTAGTCAACAACCCAAATCAAATTTGTAATTCAAACAATCTCCAGGGGCAAAATCGGAAGTTAAAAAAACCATGATTTGCTTTCTTATATAAAGGCTTTAACCCTAATTCTCTCCTCCCTGGTACATCAACGGTCGTCGCGTTCTCTCCTTCTACTCTTCCATGAAAACCCAGCCCCGTTTCTCTCTCAACCATTTCTTCTCCGATTGCCATTGATTTCTGATTCTGCAGTGATGATGAATGATAACCCCCAGGCTTTATGATTTATAGGTCAGATTTGATTTGGTTTAGAATTATTTGGTCGGTGCTGGATCTGGTCTTCGATTTAGATCTGCATCTGATTCTGTTTCGATTTTTTTTTTTTTTTTTTTTTATTTTGTATGAAATTTTAGGTCCGGATGTTTTTAATTTTAATTTGATGAGTAGCTTTTAGGGTTTGGTGCGAGGTCTATAGTTGCCGTGCTTGTTTGGATTTTGATGAAATTTCAGGTCTTTAGGAGATTTTGAGGTCAGTCTGTACTTTGCGTGCAAGCTTGAACGATCGTTCAACTTCGCCAACCTTTTTGTTTGCAATGTTGAAGTGGAATTCTTCTGTCCATATCATTTCCCCCTTTTTTTTTTTAATGGATTTTATGAACTCAAGCTTTTTTACACTAAGGTCTGGCCCCCTTTCGCTGGCCCAAGGCCCGCTTACCCGGTCGGAGCGGTCCGACGCGGTTCGATGGTCTGACCCGGTTCGTCCGGTCGGCTCGGTTCGTTCGGTCGGCCCCGGTTCGTTCGGTCGGCCCCGGTTCGTTCGGTCGGCCCCGGTTCGTTCGGTCGGCCCCGGTTCGTTCGGTCGGACCCGATTCGTTCGGTCCAACCCGGTTCGCCAAGCCAACTGTCCGGTTCAGCCGGTCCGACCTCGTTCGCGGAGTCAACCATTCCGTTCAGCCGATCCGATTAGTTCAACGGGTCAACCATCCGGTTCAGCTGGTTAATCGGTCAACCATAAGTCAATGTACCAGAGATATCATGGAGACTAATGTTGCTAGATAGAATTGCTAGGATTTGGATCCTGTCCTAGTCAACTAGTCGGGATCCTCTTGACCAATGTTAGTGGACCGTTGAATTTTTATCCAACGGCTACAATTATTATAACTTTTAAAGGTTCATAAAAATCCAACGGTCTACTAATCAGGAGGATCCGACCAGTTGCATAGGAGAGGATCCAAATCCGAATTGTTATACGCACGGCATCGTCGTTCATTCTTTTTTCTTTGTTACATTTGAGACTTTCGAACATTAGACTTATCCGCTTACCACTGAGCTAATTAATCCCAATGACCTAACTGTTATTCATTTTTCAATTTTTTGTTTTAAGCTCGTATCAGAGTAACACAAGCTGTTAGGTGTCAAGCTTTATGAAATTGGGTTACAGACGTCATTGACTAGTTACTGTTTGTTCTTGCACGGTACAAATTCCACCAAATATTCCTAGTGGCAATGCGACATCTTGTGGTAAAAAAATATCTAATCAAACTCATACGGTGCAAATTCATATCAATATATATATTAGGAAGAAAATTATAAAATGACCAAGCTTGCCGTTGCTACTATCATATCGCTACGCCACCACCATGCCTTGCTGCTCCACCACCTGCCACGGCACCGCCGCTCTGTCGCACCAACACCTCAATAACAATCCAATAAGTGGCTTGTTGATTTTGATTTCTTCAATTAATGGTTTTTGCTAATCTTAACTGGGGCGGTTGCCTTGACAAAGCAGAATCATGACTAACTTCAAAGCCAACAAACCCATTGGAAGATTCCAATGGTATGACAAGGCAATATTGGTGGAGCAGCAAGCCGCTTGCTGGTTGTGAAGGTATGATCCGACGTGTATGATCGTTAGGGAGTTATTTGCACGCTAAAAATAGGATGCATTTGGTGAGTAGTGTTATTGCACGCGTAGAAGATCCCATGTCCGTTTTTGCATGTAAAAGTTTTGGTCTATAAAATCCCATGCAGATACCAATCCTAGCTAGGGCAAATTCTTTAGCACACTAAGATTTACCTTTACTCCAACTACGTCCTTACCATCATGGCTCTTCTCATCACAAACCAAGGCCAATCCCTCTGCTTGGCCTCATTTCTCATGCTCGTTTTGGCCTTCTGCTCCTCAAAAGCACTTTGTAGTCGCCAACTTTATGGCGACAACAAAATCACGGTTGTCAGGCATGAGGAGTGGATGGCTCAACATGGACGCACTTATAATGATGCACAAGAGAAGGAGATGCGTCACAACATATTCAAGAACAATGTGGAATTTGTACAAGCTTTTAACAAAAACAAGGAGGGAAAAAAGTACACGCTCAGTGTCAATAAGTTTGCGGACAAAACTAACGAGGAAATTCAGCCAATGCGCAATGGCTACAAGAGAAAGCAACGTTCAGGGTTCATGTCCGACTCTTTGATAGCATCTCCTTTTCGATATGGAAATGTCAGTAATGTGCCATCTTCTGTGGATTGGAGATTGTCTGGCGCTGTGACCGCGGTCAAGAACCAAGGATATGAGTGTGGTATGCATGAATTCTTGCCTAATATCTAGTTATCTACACGAAATTATACATGCATATAACGTAATTTTTTTCTTCTAATATATACTGATTATATGCAGACAACATAAGATGTTTACGTTTCCAGATTTTCAATTTAATCAGTGGTCTTGGTTTCAATGACAATTTATCTAATTCAATGATATTTACAGGGTGTTGTTGGGCGTTCGCAACAGTAGCAACCATTGAAGGACTTAACAAACTCAAAACAAGAAACCTAATTTCACTATCAGAACAAGAGCTAGTTGATTGTGACACGAGCAGTTACAATCACGGATGTAATGGCGGTAATTCAAAGGTTGCGTATGACTACATGATCAACCGCAACAGGAGCCTTGTAACTGAAGATAATTACCCTTACCAGGCTAAAGATGGAGGAATTTGCAAAACTGCTAGTGCTGCTCCTGCATCTGGTGCCATAACCATAACCGGCTACGAGAATGTGCCTGCAAACAACGAAGATGCATTGTTGAAGGCTGTTGCGAACCAGCCGGTTTCTGTTGCCATTGATATTGACGCAGAGGAATTCAAGTATTATTCGGGTGGCGTGTACACTGGACCATGTGGTACAAACTTAAGCCATGAAGTGACTGCAGTTGGGTACGGTACTAGTAATGATGGGACCAAGTATTGGCTGCTCAAGAATTCTTGGGGCAAAGATTGGGGAGAGGGTGGATACATGAGATTACAAAGAGACGTGCCCGCCAAGGAAGGGTTATGTGGCATTGCTATGGAAGCTACTTATCCAACCGCATAATAACTTAAACCACCTGCAACATCAGCATGCTGCTAATTTGTGATAAGTGTGATGGTTTAATTAAATTAGCTGATTTATTATTTTCTTTATGTTTATTGTTCATCGGTTGTAAAGTGCTGTTGTTTATAAATTAATGGATAATAATTGCTTTGAATTACGTACATTCATGTTGGTATTTCCTTTCTCTCAAATACCTCAATTAATCCAAAACCGTCATGAAATTTAGAACCTGAAATTGTGTACATTAAATGTGGACATTCCGTTTGGTGACATGAACTTTATTTTGCTTGATTCTTTGATTTTAATGTTTCCAGTCAAATACCGTTTAATGTTCCAGTTAAATTTAGAACCTGAAAAAAACATTCCCAAAAAAATATCCATAACACTAAAACGTTCGAATCAAATAAACACAATGAGGATGAAGTAAACTATCAAATCAAATACTGCATAAAAAAAAATATATAAAATCTAATACAATTGTAGTTCAAGATGTAAAGATCACAAAAGGAGGGTCTTACAAATAAAAAAACATCATAAATGGTAGAAGATAAATGAGCTATATTTTTAGTACATACGATATAATGATTATTTACACTAAATGATGAGTGAGTAAAAAAAAGAAACAAGTTTTTGTTGTTATTTTTGAAATTAAACCCATTTTACACCCTAAAATAAAGATGGGGGAGTTTATTGCACGTGTAGAAAATTCTTGGCCATTTTGCTTTGCATGTAAAATTTTGTGTATAAAATCCCACGCCATGCTGAATGTGTTGTATACCAAGATAACTTATCTAAAGTACTCCAAGTGCTTACCAATATCATGGCTCTACTCATCACAAACCAAGGCCAATCCCTCGCCTTATTTCTGGTTCTCGTTTTGGGCTTCTGCTCCTCCCAAGCTTTTTGTAGTCGTCAACTTTCTGAGGACGAACAAATCATGTTGGAGAGGCACAAAGAGTGGATGGCTCGACATGGACGTGTTTACAAGGATGCACAAGAGAAAGACAGGCGTTACAGGACATTCAAGTCCAGTGTGGAGTTTATAGAAGGTTTTAACAAGAAGAGCGAAAACAAGTACAGGCTTGACATCAATAAGTTTGCTGACCTAACTAACGAGGAATTTCAGGCGACGAGTCAAGGCTACAAGAGGATACACCTCCCAGAGATCATGTCCAACTCTTCCAAAGCAGCTCCAGATACCAATTTTCGATATGAAAATGTCACCGATGTGCCAAAATCTAAGGATTATTTTTCAATTGGCGCTGTGACCACGGTCAAATACCAAGGGCAATGTGGTAAGCATGCAAGATTAAGCTATCTCTATGAGGTTTTACTTTCATAGATCATGTAATATGTGTTCTTGTTTGATTGTTTGAAAACATACGACGGTTATGTTTCCAAAATCTGAACCTGGATAGCGCATTCAACCAATAATTAATATGTTTATAGTTGATATGACCCTGCTCAAAAGCCAAGGTTATGACTGTGGTAAGCAATTTCTAGTCATTTGCACGAGATAATACATGCATGTAATGTAATTTTTTTTCTTTCTTATACTGATTATATTAAGACAGTGTAAGATGTTTATGTTATGTTGTCAGATTCTCAATTTAAGAGAATTTTAGAGATAAGGGTTTGTCAAAGATTATTTTTAGAATATAACTTGGAAGGTTTTCAATAACTAAAAAAGATCTTGAATTCTAATGCATTATGACATGTCACTTACAATAAAACCACAAGTTTTACTACAATTAACAAGAATGCCATATTTATTGTCTACAATGTAACCTCCACCATCAAAGTTTGAAAAGGTAACCATAGGTTCATTATCACCCATAACCTCCATCTTCATTATCTAAAAAATGATATCTTTATTGTATATAACTACCTACTTTTTTTTTAATTTTTAATTTTTATATTTATTCAAATTTGATATTGGGTGAAGAATGCACTAATTTAGGTCCGATAGTTTCGGTATAGTCAATTAGGTACATTATATAGTTTAGGTATGATAGATTCGGTACAGTCAATATTGTGCGATTAGTATTTTTTATGTTTTAGTTCACTAGGTTTGATAAATTAGGTACGTTATATAGTTTAGTTCTGATAGATTTGGCACGGTCAATTTGGTTCCAATTTGTATTTTTATGTTTTAGTTCAGTAGGTCAGATAGATTCAGTACGATCAATTTGGTATGGTTTGTATTTTTTATGTTTTAGTTCATTAGGTCTGATAGATTCAATACGATCAATTTGGCACAGTTTGTATTTTTTATGTTTTAGTCCATTAGATCCGGCCAATTTGGTACGGTTTGTATTTTTTATGTTTAGTCCTTTAGGTCCAATAATTTCTACATAGGCCTTATACATTAGTTATGATTTACAAAATGCTTTTTAATTTTTCTGCATGTTTGAATCCCTTAAAAGGGTAATATAGGCAAACTAAAAGTACAATAAATTCATAAAAAAGTAATTAAATTCTAACATGGAATATATAAGATGACATGGACACAAGTTAAAGGACTATTGTTAGTTTTTCATCTTACATACAGTACTATTAAAAACTTGGTCTTTTTTTGGGATTAAAATGAAGTTTTTAAACAATTTATCTAACTCAATGATATTTACAGGATGTTGTTGGGCGTTCGCAACAGTGGCAACCGTAGAAGGGCTTAACAAACTCAAAACAGGAAACCTAATTTCACTATCAGAACAAGAGCTAATTGATTGTGACACGAGCAGTTACGATCACGGCTGCGACGGAGGTAATTCAAAGGTTGCGTATGACTACATGATCAAAAGCAACAAGAGCCTTGCAACTGAAGATAATTACCCTTACCAGGCTAAAGATGGAGGAATTTGCAGAACTGCTGCCGCTGCTCCTGCATCTGGTGCCATAACCATAACCGGCTACGAGAATGTGCCTGCAAACAACGAAGATGCATTGTTGAAGGCTGTTGCGAACCAGCCGGTTTCTGTTGCCATTGATATTAACGCAGAGGAATTCAGGTATTATTCGAGTGGCGTGTACACTGGACCATGTGGTACAAACTTAAGCCATGAAGTGACTGCAGTTGGGTACGGTACTAGTAATGATGGGACTAAGTATTGGCTGCTCAAGAATTCTTGGGGCAAAGAGTGGGGGGAGAGTGGATACATTAGGTTACAAAGAGACGTGCCAGCCAAGGAAGGTCTATGTGGCATTGCCATGGAAGCTACCTATCCAACCGCTTGATAACTTAAAAAAAGTTTTTTTTTATTTAATTCTTGAAAAAGATTGAAATTTAATAAAAATATGATGTTAGATTATTGTCCTTGATGTGTTCTTAATTCAAATTAATTAATGGGTATTTTATTTAATGTCTCTTATTAAATATTTGAATTTATTAACATACACATTTTAATTTATTTTTTTATCAATCTTTTTTATTTATTAATTTTATTTAACATTCTTTAAATTTGAAAGGCTCAATTAATGTACCTAAATGTATTTTTTTTTAACAAACAATATTATCTATCCCTAAGAGAATGGGAGTCGGCTTAATCTTACAATGGGTTAGTAATAATGTGATTCAAATTCGCCTTTGTCAAGAATCGAACATAAGAAGTGAAGAGAAATAACATTAGACTTTAATAGTAAGCGACGATTAATGTAACAAAATGTTAGTACTGTTCATTTGTATCGGGACATCAAACCCGGAGAACGCTACATCTCGCCGCCACTCTCCGCCGAAATATGAGAGGTTGCCGGAGCCGGTCAAGGCTGTGTCGTGAAACGCCGACCTTCCGAGCACGTGAACCATGTGGAGCTCGACCATGTGCTTGCCGCCCAGGATCTTCAAGATCGTGGTTTTCCCCGCGCCGTTGGATCCGATGAGGAGGCATTGGTCACCGGCGTTGAGGGTGAGATTGAAGTCCTCGATCAGCGGCTTAGATCCCGGCAGCGGGTGGCTGTTAATTCCTGGGTGGGTGAATTTTAAGCCATTGATCTCGATCGATGGCTCGGAGTTTAGCTTCACACCCGTTGGCGATGAATTTTTAGGGAGAGGGAGATGAGATTAGGAGGGAGCAAGTGTGTGTGCCGACATGAAAGAGTCGTTAAAGCTTTCGGCGATGGACGAGTTTGGTTGTCGACTCAGTGGAGGAGGCGTGGATAGTTCCCAGTCACAAACTCGGAACTCGGAAGCTACGAACTCGGTAGTTTGCCATGTCATCCACTGACAAGCAGAAACGTTGCTGCTACTCACACAGGCAAATAAGGCGCCAACTAACTTGGAGGCTCCGGATCCGGTCACGGGGTTCGGGTCGGACCCAACTTCTACGTCACGAGTCCTCTCTCCAATACTCATGAATCTGGACTGAAGGTGTTTTTCTTGGATTCCGAAATAGTCCTTGGAAATGGCAGCAATTTACAGTCTCTACATCATCAACAAATCAGGCGGCTTGATCTACTACAATGTAACAATACCCTAGAGATTTCAATTTTCCCATTGATTTTCCTCTGTTTTCTCAGCAACCAAACATGAAAGTTCACGAATTTCGATTGTTCTTTTGGAAACAAAATTAGGATTACGGATCGGCGGGAAGGATGGACACGAACGATACCTTGAGGGTTGCCAGCTTGTGGCACTCGATGCACGCCATTTCTCAGCAGCTGTCGCCGGTATCGGGCTGTTTCGGAATCGAACTCCTTCAAGCTGACACCTTCGATCTTAATTGCTTCCAATCACTCACTGGTACATTTCAAAATCTTGACCTTTTTCCCCTTCTCTAGAATTTGTACTGTAATTTAACGGGTTTCGGTCCCATTGGCAAAATTTGGTGAATTTTGTGGTTAACAAGCTTGAAAGATATGTGTTTAGGACTAATTTGCAATTGAAATATTGAAGTCTCACTTAAATTTAATTGATTTCAAATTTGCAGATTGTAAGTTTTGTATAGAATGTACAAGGTAAAGTTAGTGAGCCTTTGAATTGGGTAAGCTTAAGTTGAGAAGATTTTGTATCGCGGAATAAGTTGGCTATCTATCTGTTGCTAGTCCTATTTGTGAATTCTGTTGTGCATTGCAGTAGCTCAGGACCAATTTAGGTTGTAATCTGGCGGAGAATGCTCAACATTGTCATCGAGCAAGTTGATTTCCGCAATGTCTGACACAGCTAATGGCAGTGCTCTTGTAAGCCATTTAGTGTAAGATTTAGGCAACTTATATCTTGTGGTTCTGTAATTTGGAAGATGGGTACGCAACGAGTGTTTCGCAAGTGAGGTGACTGCTAAATATTGGGATTGAGTGAGTTGATCTGTTAACTGACACAACTAATCGTGGTGCTTTCGTACGCCGTTTGGTGTCAACAACAACATCTATCTTGCGGTTCTGTATTTTGGAGATGAGCTATGGACACGAGTTTTCCTCTACGTAATCTTGTGTGATGTTATCGATTTCCACATAACTAGGATCTTCTTTGTTCTGGTTATAGAAAGGGTGAAACTTTTTTTTTTTTGCTCGTTCTAGTTTCTCTATGCTAGATCCCAACACTGTACATCTTACACATCTTGACAACCACTATACTTGAATTTCATAAGGCGGATGAGTTGGTTTAGTATCCTGGATGTTGACTCGGATCCATCTGCCTGGTTTGGAATTTGTTCAGCCCGAAGTTACTGGTTGTTTGAGTGTTGACAAGTTTTATTTTTTCTGATTTTAGAGTAATTGAGTCTCTGTTACGTTAGGCTTGGCCTTTTCATTCCTTTTGAATCGAGACATTCTTATCGAGCAGGATGTTGGTTTCAATTTCCTTATGCCTATGGCTGTTTAATTTATCCTGGGAAGAGAACATTTTTCTAGAAATTTTGAAGGTGTCTTGGATTGTGAAAGTGATGATATATATTTTCACTATTTGCAGGGACAAAGTTCTTTGTTGTCTCTGAGCCTGGGACACAGCACATGGAAGGTCTCTTGAAACACATCTATGAGTTGTACACGGATTACGTCTTGAAGAATCCCTTCTACGAGATGGAGATGCCTATACGATGCGAGCTCTGCGATATCAACTTAACACAGGCTGTACAGAAGGATCGTGTCGCATTGTTGGCCCGATGATCTGCCGGAGAATTTGTATGGTATCTGTAGTTTACAATCAATATCTTTAGTATGGTTTGAGCTTACCTCGACTTTGGTGTTCATAAACAATCAGATATGGGCATTGACTAACTCAAGTTTTCATCCCAAATCGCCGTGTTTTCATTTCCAGTTAAAGATTACAACGGCTGTTATGTGTTTCTGCGTTTTGGTTAAACCCAAAGAGGGTAAAAAAACAATTTGATATTCTATCACAAAATAAAATCATGAGAAGTAATGTAATTTCACACATTAAATTTTAGACTTTTTTTTTTTTTTTTCAAACCTCGTCCACATGTAAAATTAACTCACATTTTCTCTCACATTTCTCTCAAACGTCTCTCTTTGTCATATATTTTCTTCATTTTAAAATTTTTATATTCACACACACCTAGTGTGTGATTTTCATCTTTTTTTTTGGGTCTGAAAAGTAAATTTCATTAATCCGAAAGAAGGTTATAGGCCAACACATAGCAAGGCAAAATAAATCCAAATGTATTGGAGGGAAATGGATACATAAAAATCCAACCCAATTAAATAAGCAAAAACGAAAATCTACATCCCTAATCTCGGACCGCATAATGAATAAGTAAATTAATTGTCAAACACAAGCATACATGTCAAAGAGAGCAACAACGTGTAGTATTGTGTTATTTCTCTTAAGATCAAACTAATATCAAAGAACAACGATTATGTCTTTGAAAAAACAATTATGAAATTAGAAAACCAATAAATGGTTGCTTCTAGAAAACCCTAGTTGAGCTGCTTTGTCATGCACAGCATTTAAAGCGATGACAATCAGAATCCTCATCTGATTATTTCTTTCGGTCGGTGGGTTCACAGGTGGCTTCTGCTCTCGGCGTCCCAATCTCAGAATTCTTTCGTAAATTAATTTTTTCGATTAAATTTGCAAATTATATAATGTGTTACCAATAGAAAATAAGCACGTTAATAATAATCTAATCGTCAACAATCACATCATTTGATTTATAAAATTTAGTATAAAAATTTAATCTTCTTAGTATTACCTTTGTAATAAAGGTGAAACCTATTGGTTTGGTACTGCCTATGCCGGTTACCGATCACTATCAAACTGGAGAACTAAGATAGAAGTTCATCCCAACATTATCCAACGCCCAACAGCCCACACCAGCTGCAATAAATTTTCTAGCTAATTGGATCAAAATTGTTGCTTCATTCAAGCAGAGTATCATGAAATCTTCCCTTTTTCCTTTCATTACATCTGAAAACGACTTGTAAACCTTATTATGACCGTCCCTCATTGGTTGTCCGCGGATTCCATGATCAAGAAATGTATCCACAGCCTCTTGTACCAATTTTTCCTCACACATTACTAATTCCCTTGGCGTAGATCTACTTGTCGTTAAGAATTCATTATATTTCATAAAGAGGATTCCATTTTATTTTAATCCAATTATTTTTACTAGGTTTATTTTTAGTTACACCCTTTGGAACTTTATTTTGATCTCACATTGCCTTGTAACTCAAAAGTCACTAGTTTGCTACTTGAAACTCAAAATTCATTCAATTTTGACTTGTGAACTCTCTTTTCTCCCCGAAACTTATAGTTCGCCTCCTAAAACATACGTAGAACAATAACACTATGCACATGTGCAAAAAAAAATTGGCTATAAATCTCCATTCTGCGTTAACTTTCAACAATTAGAGAATATTAAGTTTAAAAAAAATTGAAGATATAAAAAAATATATATATAAATTGGTTATCCTAGCGCACCCAAATCAAACCACATAAGAAACTAATAGATCTAAGGCAATGTGAGCGAATTTTGAGTTTAATAAAGACGACTTTCGAGTTTCAGAGGGTAAAATGGAATCAAATCGAGTTCCAAGGGGTAAAGTGGAGTGAATTTTGAGTTTCAAAGAGTAAAGTGATAACTTTTAAATTACAGAGAGCAAAATGAGATTAAAATCAAGTTCTAGATGACATTTCTAAAATAAGTCTTTGTATTAATTGAACTGTTTACCTTTTTGGCAGCTTTGTACTGATGTTTGAATTTACGCAGCTTTTGGCTCTTCCCTCCAGAGCGTTGAAGGAGCAGAGCAAGAACATAGCAGCCAGCAGTCTCAAAGACCCAAAACAGATGAAATTTTAGCAAGAATTAAAATGAAAAAGAATTCGTTTTCGTAAATGGATTATAATTTGGGTACCCAGATTACTGGATTTTTCTTTAAACCTATATTACAACATGGACATCCCCCCACCTCTTTTTTCAATTTTCCAATTTTTGTTACCGAAAAAAATAATATTACAACATGGACACTGATGAAAAATCGACACCGATAAACGAAGAAGTATCTAATATTTCAGAAATTTAACTGTTTATACGGTGGTGATTGTCATTGTCACTATAGAGGAACGAAAATAAACAAAAGTATAGTAAACCTTGTGAAAAAAGTATTTTAACGAGAAACTCCTCATTTTTTGAGAAGTCAAGTTAACTCAATTTCAGTACAAAGGGTGAGTCTCACATGTTTAAGATGAATCAAGGCTCCCGCTAAGCGCATGCGAAACCATAATTTTTCCTAAAGCTAAACTCATGCAATGATTCGATAGACTTAAAGGGGCATTTACCAAATGATGTTTGAAGAAAAAGAATCCCTAAAGCAATTGTCGTAACACCCGACATGTTGCTCTAGGATAAGAGATGCTTCCCACTACATTAACAATTGTAATGTAGACTGTAGATCCACAAAAAATAGCAATACTTTGCTGCTCAATCCTCAAATATACTATTGGGAAATATCGTCTCTAAAAAAAAAAAAAACATAGATTATGTTAAAGTTCACCAAAAAAATAACTCTGAACTTTATAATTGTTTGAAATGAAATGACTCTGAACCCTTTTTTTATCCCTTCCAGGCATCGAAAAATAAAAAAAAATATAGTTCACGTATTCTAGATAATTTACGTATTTAAATTCTATCCTATTTCATCACATTTGTTTGAAATGAGAAGTTCAGAGGCTTTTATTAACTCCAGATTTTAGCAATGCATGTTTTGTTCATTCGGTTCTTGGTTTTAACTTATATCGGGATCGACTAGGTTGCTTTGTTTGGTAGTAGCAGGTTTGTTTTATTTGCAAGATAATACAAACCGTAAATGTCACGTCCTGATCCGGACCCCCATCACATCTCGAGCTTGACTTCATCATAGTACGATATTGTCCGCTTTAAGCCCCGACCACGCTCTCACAGTTTTGTTTTTGGGAACTCACATGAGAACTGCCCAGTGGGTCACCTATCCTGGAATTGCTCTCACGCGAACTCGCTTAACTTCAAAGTTCCTACGGAACCCGAAACCGGTGAGCTCCCAAAAGGTCTCATGCTATATGGAGGTGGGCATGTGGGTTGCTTTGTTTGGTAGTAGCAGGTTTGTTTTATTTGCAAGATAATACAAACCGTAAATGTCACGTCCTGGTCCGGGCCTCCATCACATCTCGAGCTTGACTCCATCATAGTACGATATTGTCCGCTTTAGGCCTCGACCACGCCCTCACAGTTTTGTTTTTAGGAACTCACATGAGAACTTCTCAGTGGGTCACCTATCCTGGAATTGCTCTCACGCGAACTCGCTTAACTTCAAAGTTCCTACGGAACCCGAAACCGGTGAGCTCCTAAAAGGTCTCATGCTATATGGAGGTGGGCATGTACATATAAGGAGAGGATCTAACAATCCACCCCTTAGGGGCCCGACGTCCTCGTCGACACACCCCGCCATGGATTGATTTCGATACCAAATTGTCACATCCCAGTCCAGGCTCACCACATATCGGGCTCAACTCCACCGTAACCCCAACCATGCTTTCACGGTTTTGTTTCTAGGATCTCATATGAGAACTTCCCAGTAGGTCATCCATCCTAGGATTGCTCTCACGTGAACTCGCTTAACTTCAGAGTTCTTACGAAACCCCAAGCCAGTAAGCTCTCAAAAGACCTCGTGCTATATAAAGATGGACATGTACATATAAGACATAGAAGATCCTCTCTTCTGGGAGATGTGGGATCTAACAGTAAATCATTCAGATGCAAACTTGGTGTAAGATTTAAACAAAATAAAGAGTGCAAGGTGACAGAATAAGATATATAAATTCAATAATTAATATATTTCTAACCTTTTGTTCACCAACTTAACATTTGGAGGTAGAACTAATAAACATAACAGGAGGACTTACAAAGCTCCTCTCTCGGGAAAAGAAAAAAAAAAAAAAAAAAAAAAAAAAAGGTGCCTCCCATTTCAAATAATCCAGGGAGGCAACAAAAACAACCCCAATACTATTATTAAACAAAAAAACAACGCCCTGTATAATTATATAAACTTGAATTTCTCATCAGGCCAGGCAACCGCAGGCATCAATTAAGCGGCAGATGGGGCGGTAGCGAAGTCGGGAACGCCAGCCTCCGATAGGGCCGCCTCCTTGAATGGCTGCACATCAGCCTCAGTTGAAACCACGGTATTCTTGCAGTCCAATGACTCATCGTCGTAAATATCCCACCATTTCTTCACCAGCATCTTAATGTCTTCCCTCTCCATGTTCTCCTCCTTCCCGGTGTATCTCCATGGCTTAGAACCCTGAACAAAAAGTAAAATGTGTTACGATTTTATAAATAGTAGGCAGATATTAAAGCAAGAGCGGATGTGCATTGATATTGTCAAAAATGAATTTGTATTTTAACCAGTACTCACGTTGGCACAATAGTGAACAACTTTTACTTGGTCAAGTTGAATGTTCTCAGGGTGACGCCATAACATGGCCAACACAAGGTTGTAATTTGAAGGGATGGGCTTGTATTTGTCCCTGAAATACACGTTCAAGAAGTCCTGCAGGGAAAAACGAAATTACAAACTTAATAAATAATTATAAAACAATTAAGTAATGTTTTTTAAACCAAAGGTTTTTGTCGGTCGAATGGTAATATTTTACCTGCTCGGCAAAAGATGTGGTTGGAGAAATCTGGAGGGTTTTGAGGAGGTCATGGTAGACCGGCAAGCTTGGCTCATACACAAACATGCCAGCATTGAAATAAAGGGGAGGCCTGGGGCCCAACTTAGGGTCCCACTGGACCTTATTAGGGCACTGCTGGCAGTACCCTATCTTATACTGTGGGCTACTGCTCCAAGTTGGCTCACAGAAGCAGTCCTTCACGGCATAGAAGTAGTTGTCCGGGTAGTCAAAGAGGTGATCGATGTTCTCAAAAACTTGAATATCTCCGTCCAAATAGATCATCTTGCAGTACTCCACAAACTGCAAAATTTGCATTGAAAAATTAGGATCACATATGAATATTATCTATAAAATAACACGAACTAATAAAATTGATCACAACCTTTTAATAACCTAACCGACAAAAAGGACACGCGTCAAAACCAGTTAACCTTGAAACATATACGTGTTAAAAAGGGCAAGAAGACACTGAGAAATTTTTAGTTGCAACGGAAACACGGGTAGTATACCACATGTTTTTGTGTGTAACTAATGGAAAATTTTATTTTTTAAGTTATTAACTTTTTAATACACATATCGCACTATTTATATAGCGACACGTAGTGTGCCAACTTGTGTGAAGGTCACACTGAAAAATAGATTCGAAAGCACTAAAAGAGTTAAAAACGTTACCTCCCAAATGCGAAGCTTGGAGTAGTTGATGACGTAGTAGGCCATGGCGAACTGCGTCTGGTTGGGAGGAGGGTACACAGGCTCGATCTCTCTGAGCACACAGCCCTGAGAGATCAGAATCCGGCGGTGCTCTTCGGGGACGTCGGGCAGCATGGCCACAACAAGCGGGTACTTGCTCATCACTTTTCTTAGCCCCTTGGCCAAGCCAACAACTCCTTTCCAGTAGTCTCCCGCACCGGCCAAGAAGGTGACGTAGGCCCTACTGGGCCCGCTTGGTGGTTTGGTGGCAGCGATAGCGGCGGTGGGGGTGGTGATCTCAGGAGCCATGGTGGTTAGGCTGAATTGGGTTTTGGTTGCGAAAAGGTTTGAAGTAGGAAAATGGAGAGAAATATTAAGGCTTTTGGTGTTTGTTTGGAAGAAAAGGTTGTGTTTCTTGCTTCAGGAAGGTTTAGAACTCAATGTTTTGGTTGATGAGTTGGGGTAGTGGGCTGGGGTGGTTTATATACAATGGGGGAGGGGGTAATTTCTAATTTTTTTTATTTCATTTTTTGGATGGGATAAATATATAGGGTCGGTTGGTCAATTATGGTAAAAATGTGAGATTAGGGTAAGTACTTTAATGTTGCTTGTGGTCTAAGGTGGAGTCACGTTTTCCCATTGGGCCCATTGGTCATTTTATACAATATTATTCAAAGATCTTGAAGACGTTATCTAATTAGTATCAACATCAAATAAATGTAGGGAATTAATTGGGCAGTTTTAGAGAGGATTATGGCCCTTGATGAAGCATGACATGAGCTCCAAATTAATTAACGAATAAATTTTGATCCTGTAGGCCGACCATTTAAAATTTCATAGACGATAATAACCTTTTTATTTCTCATTTTTTACACAACTATTTCAGAGTAGTGGACGTCGACGCGCTTTTATTTATTTATTATGGGAATCGACGTGCTTATAGGGATTTAAGGGATCATATTTCTTTGTGGAAACATAAAGCTCGTTTAGATGTGCTTTTAAATTGACTAAAAGCGTTTTTGAGGAAAATATTTGTGGAATAATCCTTAGTAAAATGCAAGTAATTCCTGGAAAAACACTAAAATTGCTTCCTGGAATGAGCACATAATTGGTGCTTATTGCAGAAAGCACTTCAAGTACTTTTGGGACCCAAAAATAATCTCTAAAAGCGTTTTTAGTCATTTTAAAAATACATCCAAACGAGTCCATAATTTATTTTATCTTTGGAGGCTCAAGCGGAGACCCGTTTACTTATGTTTTCTCATATGAACCTCTTGTCTCCAACTATTGCTTTTTATTATTTAGAATGTTTAATATATGTTTGACATCTTCTATGCGAAAATGTTTAATTTTCATAAGAGATCTTGACTGTTATTCAAAAGGTCCAATAACGTATGTATATTGGACCTTTTGAGGCAACTATAGATGCTGTGGAGCAATTCTGATTGTCAATAAAAATATAGAACATCATATAAGTTATCATGCTTGCATATCCACCATTTGAGTCTCCAACAGTTATCCCAATAATTACATATCCAATTTGACCTATGGACGATTACGCAAGCATATGTTTCATGCTTGTTTTTATTAGTGGGATCATATTTCTTTTAAAGATAAAACACATAAAAAAATGTCTTAGTCAATCATCATTTTCCATATTAGGTGCCACGCAAATTTTGGAAAGTATAATTAGAGGTATTTATTCTTTTACATTTCATATTATCCGGAACTTTAATTACCATGTCGATCTAGGAAAATCTTCTACATTATGTACATGGATCTCAAAATATATGGTGAAATGAAACAAATGAAAGACATATTTTACCAAAAGAAATAAAAATTTTAAATGAATAAATACATTTTTATTACATGTGATATTGTTACTCCACGCTGTATTTAATAAAAATCAAAATAAAAAAGAAGTCAAACAACTTAGGATTAGAGTCCTTTCATATGAGGCTGAAAATTTGAGTTTGATTTCAATTTTACAAAAATCAAACTCCCCTCGTGGAAGAGTAAAATGAGAATAATCAATAATATATTAAGAAATAGATGGTCCTCATATGTATTAAACTCACACAACTATAGTAAGTGTTACAGTTTTATCAAATATTCATAGAGACAAGTCACTGGCCTACTCCTAATTACACCAATATTATAATCGTTAATCAATCTATTGTTAGGTGTTGTGTTTTTTTTCACAAAAAGCTCGATATTATTAAGAATGAAACCATACACTTATGTTTTTTTTTCTTTCTCAATTCCTCGATGTGGAACTTATATTCAATATGCCCCCTCACGTGGGACCACAACATAATGGACCACACGTGCAGCAATCCCACATCGCACATTTAGCATAGAAGCATGGTGTTACATTAAATCCAATAACGTGGGCACAACACAAACTCACGATCAAACCCACTATGGTTTTATATCAGATTCTCAGAAAGACAAGTCATCCATCCACTCCTAACCATATATGTATTGTCTCATCTTAATTTCCTATTGTTATGTGTTATGTTTGTCAATTCTCAGACTTATGTTCAATAAGTTCTTCATGATTTTTTTTTAGAAATATTCATACTTTTCTGATTTTATATGTTTAGTAAACATATAAAAATTCATAAGAGATGAGTGATTTTGATAAATCACATTTTAATAATCGCGTTGAAAGAGTAAGATTATATCACTTAAACAAGCTACGTGCATGAAGTAGACATCCTCAAAATTGCAAAGAATAAGAATATTCGTGCGTACAAAAGAGAAAAAATGATTAATTTAATTATTTTGTTAAAATAAACTATTATCATCCCATTTATTTTGATAAAAAGCAGGGAGAAAATGGTAAATTCAAATTAAACAATACGTAACGTTTTGCGTGTCCACTTTCCACCGTCAGAAGTTGCTAAGACTCTCACCAAACGAAGAAATACCAACCTCTAATCTCATCACACGACAGTCACACCATTTTCGCCACGTGTAAGATCACAGATACGTGGCGCGCTCACAGCCGCCTGGATTTACTAACGCGGGGTCCACCTACTAAAACCGAATGACCTTTTCACCCCAACTTTTACACTTTTAGGATATTCTATAGAACTGGGCCCCCCCATTGAAGCTCTTACGTGTCCCGCAACCGTACGGGAAGATGCCATGTGGCCGCGCCGCGTGGCAGAGGTTTCTAGTTATGTTAGTTGGTCCAAATTAAAACGCGTTTAAATCTAATTAGCGCGCAGATACTAATTTGGTGTGGCAGTTTGAGACGGTGGGCCCGGGCGGGCCCATTAGTTTATAGGATAACGTTTACCGACCAAATCTTTGGATAATGTTTTGGTCTTTGGAGGGAAAAACGTTATAAGATAATGTTCTTTTGAGGGTCCACTACTACACTATTTTGACCCACTTCGTAATAAAATAGGAAAAAGAAATTACGAAAAATGTTTTTAAATTTGAGGAATATTCGGTCAATTTGGGATATTTTCGGAAAAAATAATAAAGAATTTTGGGATCTTTGATTTAACGGTCAAGATTCTATTTGTTTAATGCCCTGATTTTGAGCCGCTGATTTTCAAGTACCTTTATTTGGCACTTTTTCTTTTTCAATGTAGGAACCTTCCTTGAATTGATTAGGTGTATTTGGATGGAAAATTGGGGACTATATGGAATGTCTATTCTCATCAACTGAGAATCGAAATTAGGATATCATAGGTCTAGAATTCGACTCGTGTGAAACTACGTACGATAGAAGTTCATTTCTTCATAATTCTCGTAAAGCGGCGAACCTTTTTAGCTTGGGATTGTCTTCAGGTCTAGAATTCGATTAGGGCATAATTGGTTTAAGGTTCAATTCTCTCGATTGACCAAAAATCTAGAATACAAAAGAAGAAAAAGAAAAGGCTTCGGCAACAAGTCGATCGTTGGATTGTGGTTTAGGGAATTGGGGTAGGCTCAAAACTGAAAATACACACCTTGTCACACCAAAAACAGCCCAAAATATCTCTACAAGACTGCCCATATTCGCATGTGGCCCAGAAAGAACATGTGGGTTGAGAGTGGAAGAATTTTGGCATTTTTTCGGTCAGGTGATGAGACAGATCGAGAATTCGAGAAGAGAGAGAGAGAAGGAAAAATATAGCCGTGACATGTAAGTTTCTCTCCTCTTGCGGCCTTTACTTTTGCTCCAATGTCCCTGTTGAAACCGATTCAGCGACGCTGTTGAATCTGGCTGTTTGATTTCCTTGAACTTGTTCATCTTTGCATTTAGAAAAATATAGAAATGTCTTTACCCCAATTGGAACAGATTCAACGAAAGATTAGTCGCAGGGTTTAATTTTCAAATTACATTTTTGTGGACTTTGGACTAAAATACCAACGAAATATATTTACGTTTAACGATTTAGGTGAGGACAAGACTTTTGCCAAGAATGATGTCATCTGTTGAGAAATCAGCAGCTTTTCTGAATGTTCCTCTCCCAAAGTCTAGGTTGTACGAGTCTGCAAGACCTTCAACCAGGCCATATTCGGGCTTCCATCCGAGCACGCTCTTCGCTTTGTCGATTGATGCAAAGAAATGCTGCGTTACATGATCCAAGTTGGTTAATCAGGTTCCGGCTTCATGAAAGTAATAGAACAAGTTTTGTTTAGCTTCTTATCGAATTCTTAAAACGTCTCTGAGACCATGTTTACCTGATCACGGAATGGAAAGGCCTTCTTCTTGCCAAAATCGAACTCTTTAGGGTTGTAGTGAACGATCTCCGGCTCAGGAAAACCAGCAGCCTAACAAATATGAAAACATATGAGAAACTCTAGTTTGAGAAGATTATGAATATTTGTCTGTCTAGAAACTTATTCAGCAAGCAATTACCTTTGCGCATGCTTTCGCTAGTCCGTCAAAGGTGACATATTTGTCTCCCGAGATGTTGAATACTTGTTTGCTGGCCTTCTCGTTACCAAGAACCTTAATGAAGGCTGTCGCTAAGTCCTGCAAAACGAACTCACATAAAAATTTGCCTTTAAATGATGCAATATAGAAATCTAAAGAAGTACATCATGACTGACTGACACTTCACACTAACCTTGACATGACCAAGCTGTGTAATTTGTATCCCCGAGTTTGGAACTGGGATTGGGCGGCCAGCTTTCAACCGGTGGAAGAACCACTCTTCAACAGGGTTATAGTTCAATGGTCCATATATGTAGACTGGCCTTATTGAAGTCCAGTTAACACCCTTTGATTCGAGCAAGTTCTCTGTCTCGAGCTTTCCCTTGTGCCTGCTCTTTGGATCAACTGCATCGGTCTACCACCAGGATTCGTCAAGTTTAGAATTATCGAAAGACAAAGAGAATGAAATAGAAAGGATAAAAAGTAATATAGAGGAAAAACAAGTTAGGAATTAAGCTCGAATTTCCACAATGCCATGACAAGAGTGATTTGAACCACAGTACAAGAGGACCGAAAAAATGAAAAGTAAGCCATTTGTAACATCAAACATACCTCAAAGTGAGGTAGCTGATCAGATTTGAGATAGACACCGGCTGAAGAGCAGTATATGTACCTGAGATTTCAGCGGAATTCTTAGACATTCCAAAATTTTCCATTATATATATGTATGGAAAGTTGGAAAGAAGTGCACTTTTTAAATCTTTTCTGCATCAAACATTAGGCCTACCATGTTAGTATTCGATTAAGTCTTAGAATGTTTTCAAACGAACTATAAGCATCAGCTCACTCTAACTACAGTGTTACCATTGGTCTTCTGTACACCTCAATAATGTCAGCTGCTTTTTCTCGTTTACAACATATTTAACAAAACACGGGTTTATTATCGTCTGAGATAACAAAATGGCAAGCTGCAGTCAAAGGTACTTGTTTTGTTTAACCATTAATTTTGATGTAAAAAGCCAATATTGCGTACGAAGCATCACATGCTTGCTAATTTAGAGTTTACTTCTACAACCAGTCCTAATCTCAAACTGTAAGAGTATAAACATGAGATAAGATGATCGGGCATTAGCTATTCAGATCCAATAAGGATAAGAAAGTCTTATAGAAGATGAATGTCAGTTCCTGTCAATAAAGGATTTTATTGCAGTAGGAAACTGATATAGGAAAACACAAGTTGTTTCCCACAAGGATTTTAATAGGAAATCCTCATTGGATTAGGAGAGGTGTATGTATATATATATATGCTGTAATCTCTGCTCTCGGGGACACGCTCAGTCAAGAACTAAGCCCTATTCTTAGTTAGAGCATTAAGAGTTCTGCCAGAGAGGAGAAGAGTTGCAGCATACAGAATCTGGACATCCGCTGCAATGGCATTTTCCAATGGAGGTTCATCAGGTTAGTGTGATTATGTCTGTTCATGTCTAAACAGGTTTTGTGCTCTCTTGATTGTGTTTATTGTGGCTTTAATCTGGATCTTGGCTATGTTAATCTTACACAAACCATATCCAGGAGAAGATTACCTGGTACTGGAGAACGCCCACAAAATAAAGGTGAAATAATTTCAGTTGCTTTACTAATAAGATAAACTAATTCAACAGAGGCTGTTCTTACTGTTCTAACTTCGGTAGTCCCTCAATTATCGGCACAACTTCTTCTGCCTCTCGTCCTGAAAATTTCCAGGTACAGATTATGAAGCAGAACTGTAAGCTATATTACACAAGAACTTTATTCTAGTGCGGCAAATTCAAATTGCAGAGGCCAAATGTAAGACCATGCGCACCATTTATATCATAAACAACATCATAGCCTTCAGCTGAAAGACTGGATTTCACAAAGTCATAGTCCTTTCTGTCTCCTTTCAAGTGCAAAATCTAGCAAACATGATCACTAGAAAATGAAAATCTGGGAAAGCATTAGAAGTTAATAATGGACTTTCAAAGCTTAGTGACACTGTTATATACCTTTGAAGCGAAATCTGTGTAATCCGCATCGGATTCTCCTGGTAACTGCTGAGTAATGGGTGCTTTTCCTCTGGTAAACAGAGTCACCTGCAAAAGTAAACTCAATTTCATATCTTATCGATGTATCAAAAGGAAAAGTGTGACTGTCACACTACTGCTGCGTGACATGACTAATTCACGCACTCTCACTAATTCCATGACAGGATTAATAATTTCACGTAGCAGCGTGATAGTTACACCAAACTCATAATGATGAGTGCAAAATCATAGTGGGAAAATGATGAAAAAATCGAAAACTTGGAAATTTAGAAAGAGAATAAGGATACCTGATGACCCTCTTTAACAAGGAGTCTTGACAAGAAGACGCCGATGAAACGGGTTCCCCCCATTATAAGAATCTTCTTTGCACTCGATGCTGAAACTTGCAGTGCCCCTCCTCTTGGCTGCGATGCCCTTCTTTTACACTGCAACAATTAACACATGGGGTTCTAACTTCTAAGTTGAAAACAATGACATGCAAGTAAAGTTATAAACTTTCCGGCAAATGGGTTGATTTGATTCACCAAAAAGGAAAATTTGATTCTACCCATTAAAGAAAAGCATCATAAGAATGCATATTTTAGAGAGAGAGAGAACCTGGAGTTGGGAGTGGAGGAGTTTGGTGCCATTGAAATCAGAGAGAGAGGAAGGAGGGAGGAGAGAGAACGATGGGTTTCTCTGCTGCGGTTGCACAGCCACCAACCTTGCCATTTCTCTCTTCTATTCCACAATTCTCTATCCAATCTTCCCCTTCTTCTTCCTCCCTCTCTCTCTCTGAGTGTGGGGTTTTCTGAAATGCTCGAAATATGTCATGTCCTCGTCGTCTTCTTCCTCTTTCTCTTGGCGATCTCTCAGTCGAACATTCAGCCACAGGATAAGAGGGTATGACCCACCACCACTCCTTTTCGGTTTGCCCATATCCACAGTCCAGCCACTCCTCGGCCTCTCATTCCACCACCCTCAACCTCCTAAAACGACGCCGTGAAGGTCAAAACTTTCGCGCCTTAAAGAGCCAAATGCCCATTTGTAAGTTGGGTTTGGGCTTTTGAGTTGGGTCAAGTTTTGGGTTTTGGGCTTTTGAGTGTTCTCCAAAATCTCCAAAATCTGAATCTGAGAAGGAGAAGGATACGAAGAAGAAAGCTTCTGCTGTCGCAGAGTTGAAGAGCTAAAGCTTCTAAATTTCGATTTTATTTTTTTGGAATTTATTCTAATTATTTTTCAGAGAGAGAGAGAGAGATGTTGCAGTGCATATTTCTGCTATCGGATTCTGGGTAAGTCACCAATCTTTGATTTTTTTTTTTTTTTTCCTCCATTTGATCTAAAAATTTTACTTGACGAATTTTAGTAGGTCAAGCAAATTTCGATTTTTTTTTGTTAAATTATGGGACTTTTCAGTGAGGTAATGCTGGAGAAACAACTTACTGGGCAGCGTGTGGACCGTTCGATATGCACATGGTTCTGGGAGCATACGGTTTCTCAAGGTGATTCCCCCAAGGTAGCCATTGAAATTTTTGATTTTTTTGCCAAATTGTACATTTTTAATTTTTTTAGGCAGTCATGTAGTCACATTGGCTAGAGAGGACCGGATGTGTTCTCTATGCACCCGGAGTTTGAATCTCCCTCCCGTATTTTAGATTAGTTTAAAGTAGAATATCGCCCGAATTAAAAGACTTTGTGTCTGTTAGATTCATTCAAAAAATTTCATATCTGGTTTTCTCATACATTTATGAATCTTTCAAATTGGGCTTGTTATCTTGTATGTAGTTGTTCCTTTTTCTCTGTATTTATGTATACAGTTAAGTTGATATGTAGATGGTTGTGTGTTTGTCGTTCCATTTCTTACACCCTATTGTGATTTTGTTATTAGCTGCAATCGGTAATTGCTTCGCCAACGCATTATCTTTTCCAAGTTCTTCGCGAGGGGATAACGTTTTTAGCTTGTACCCAAGTTGAAATGCCGCCTTTGATGGGCATCGAGGTGAATATCATGGCGAAATGTGCGTTAGATTGTATGATTTGATTGTGTATGCATTGAACAAGATTGAACTTTAACCGTTGGACTTATAGTTTCTGTGCAGGGTGGCTGATGTCCTGACAGATTATCTCGGCAGCTTGAATGAAGACTTGATTAAAGATAACTTTGTCATTGTATATGAGGTAATTGTCTTGATTATACTTTGTCATTTTATCATTTCTTCTAGAATGTGTCTGTTGTGCGGACAAACGTTTGCATTTGTATCTGTGATTGTTGTGTAAACCACTTATAATGTAGAACTAAAATCTCAACAACAACATTAATAAGTCCAAAATTTTACCTCCGTGACTGTGATTGTTTACTGACTAGAACCTGGCCGCTAATTAGTCATCATCTACTGTATTCGATGTTGATTTTTTCTTCGGTTGAATTTACTAAAATCTTTAGTGCTGTTTGCAGCTTCTGGATGAGATGATTGACAATGGCTTCCCTCTCACGACAGAACCGAATATTCTGAGGGAGATGATTGCTCCACCAAATATAGCAAACAAGATGTTGAGTGTAGTCACTGGCAACAGTTCCAACATGAGCGACATACTTCCAGGTGCAACATCATCTTGCATTCCATGGAGAACAACAAACCTGAAATATGCAAACAATGAAGTTTATGTTGATCTTGTTGAAGAAATGGATGCAATTATAAACAGGTCTATCTTTTATTCTTTTCTACGAGATTAAAAGTTCTGGGTCTCAGAAGTTGATTCTAATATCACTTCTTCATGTTATACAAGTCAATTGGTGTTTACCTTTAACAGTTTAACCGCTCGAAATTTTATAAGACGTTATCATTTATGGATGGTGATGATTATTGTACGAAATTTGCAGATTTTGTAGTTATAATTGAATGAATTATATCTCAATTTTTTGTACTAAATATTTCCGCATGCTGCTCAGGGATGGGGTCCTGGTGAAATGTGAGATATATGGTGAAGTTCAAGTAAACTCCCATCTCTCTGGTGTTCCCGATTTGACTCTTTCATTTGCAAACGCTGCTGTTCTTGATGATGTAAGATTTCATCCGTGTGTTCGGTTTCGCCCATGGGAAGCCCATCAAATTCTGTCTTTTGTGCCCCCTGACGGACAGTTTAAGTTAATGAGTTACAGGTCAGTGGTGTTAAAGGGACGCTGGAATTCGGAGCTTACTTATGTGCAGTATTTCGGTGTCTATGTCCTCGTTTTATTTTCTAAATAATTCTACACTTCCTTTATGCAGGGTTAGAAAGTTGAAGAGCTCTCCAATCTATGTAAAGCCCCAGCTAACCTCAGATGCTGGGACATGTCGTGTTAGTGTGTTGGTTGGAATACGAAATGATCCTGGAAAGACGATTGATTCAATAACTGTGCAGTTCCAACTTCCTTCCTGTGTTTTATCAGCTGATCTGAACTCGAATTATGGAACTGTGAACATTCTTGCTAACAAGGTAAGAACATAGGATTTTCATATCACTCATAACCTTGGCATGATGACTAGCCTGAATTTCAATTATCAATTGTGATACGACGTAGATGAAATGGAAGTTCAGGTCTTTTTTTCCTTAACAGTTATTCTTCACTGTTGTGGTTGCAATTTCTGCGGTTTTAAAGGATGAGAATGCGTAGTTCTCCTGGTCGGTTTTGGGTTTAATATAACGAACACTTCTTCTTCTTGTAGACTTGTTCATGGACGATTGGGAAGATTCCTAAAGACAAAGCCCCTGCATTGTCTGGGACATTATTGCTTGAAACAGGATTAGAGCGCCTTCACGTTTTTCCGACATTTCAAGTGGGTTTTAGGATCATGGGCGTTGCTCTCTCTGGCTTGAAAATAGATAAACTGGATTTGAAGAATCTGCCAAAACCACCTTATAAGGGTTTTCGAGCTCTCACTCGAGCAGGGGAATTTGAAGTCAGGTCATAATGAACCGATATGAAACCCTATTTGTGAAGATTGCTCGGAATGAGTCGTTTGTATATTTCTTTTTGTAACATTGCATCTCGGTCTTGAGAGTGCCTTCGATTTTAGCTGAAATGAATTTGTAACGAATTTTCTGTTTTACTGAAGGATTGAAAATTACAAAGTGTTTTACAGAACTAGACCGCAATTGGCATTTGAAGCAAAGGAATAAGAACCTTTGGATGACAAAATTTTGTAAGATCTTACGGCACCTAAACAGCAATCTTGTTCACTCTGAACGATTCCATAACCCGGCGAAGGTCACTTTCTTCCTCCACAAACACATTTTCCGGTGTCTGTAATCTCAACTCGTATAACTGGTTGTTTTCGACTCCTAGAACCGAAAGGTACCGCCTGTCCCATTCCAAACTAACTAATCGATCCTTCGGCATAACAGCCAACTCGTTGTTGTTTGCATATGACTTTATGTTCACCTAGAAAATCCATGTCAAAACACACTTTCTAAGTCATAATGCAGATTATGTCTTATCTAATAAGTGCTAAAAATGCATAGAACTGACCTCAATTTGATAATACAGCTTCCCATCATCAGCAACTCTCGAAGAAGTGGAAAGAATTTTGGATTCACGCCTCACGCCAAGTCTGGTAGACATGAACTCCGTCAGGTACTGCTTAAGCACTTTCTTTCCGGCTAGTTCAGGCGGGCCTAGATCTTCGATGCTCTTGTAGTTGGAAGATGATGGAGACGAAAACTCCACGGAGATATTTTCATCGAGAATGTAAGGGTCTCTAAAGAATATGTCTGCTCCGGCGCCCTTCACTTGGATCCAGTTTTTAGGGTACTTGAACGAATATCCATCAAAAGTATCTACATATTCTCTTAACCCTACAAGAGACTGCTGAGCAAACGCAGCACTCCCAAAACCGCCTCCGGCGAAGATGTAAGCTGACAAGATTAAGGCCATTGCATTTCTCCTAGGAACTGCAAAATCTTTAGTCTGATTATATATTAGAAATATATGGAAAGAACACAACATTGTGGAAGTCGGTAAATTTCATGTCAATTTCACTAATGTGTGACTCTCAGCATACCTTTGAGGAACTTTCAACACAATCCCTATCTGATTCACGTCGAAAGTGCTCGGAAACCGGCGTCTTCAGTCTGCTAAACAAACTCATCTGCTAAAACAAATTCAAAGTCAAGTGTGTGAGATATGCAAAAGGATCAAATTTTGAAAGAATATAGTAAATACCTGACTACGCTCTTTGGAAAATTCCTTTGCGTTTGATGCTGCAACATGTAATGTTTCTTTTGGCCGTGAAACCGTTTTCCTAAACTGCAGTTGATTAATGATGTATCGATGTTAAAAGCAATACCACATGAATTAGCGTCCAAGCTCAGAGAAGGAACCCATCAAAGCTAGTGGACAGTTTTTGTTTTTACGAGACGATATTCTAAACTTCTCTAATTTAGGGAAATGGAGACTCAGGTTTTGGATGCAAGGGGGAAGGCAAAGTATCCGAACTAAGTGGCCTAACTTACGACTGCAAAGTTAGTACAAAGTTCAATGAATTTCTATGATCATATGAACAACTTATCCATTTATTAGACTCCCAAGTGTTGGAGTTCCACGAAATTCACCTTATACATATGGTGCATGAATATCATCATAAATGTTAACATTATGGAAATGACATATTAGTTCGACTTTGTTGTTGGTTTTTTTTTTTTTTTTTTTTTTTTTTGACAAAGCGATATTCTAAATTACTCTAACTTACAAGTTAGAGAGGTGAATTTTAACGGTTTAACTCAGGTGCAACAAGGCGGGCACACTCCTCCGGCCAACTGACCTTATCTACGTCTACAATTCTACTCCATGTTGTAGGAAAATCAACAAAAGCTAGAACAGGTAGAATGAAAGTTAAATTGAGAGATTCACAACATTGTGAACCATGGAAGAAAAAGTAGAACAAAAATTGCAGAAGCAGAACCTGGAGTTGAGAAGTGTGGAGTCTGGTGCCATTGAAGTGAGATAAAGAGGAGGGGAGAGGAGAGAGAGAAGGCTGTCTCTGTTGCTGCACCACCACCAACCTTGCCATGTTTCCCTATCCACTCCCTGCTTTCCTTTTCTTGGTTCTATCCACACTGCCCAACCAATCATTCATATCATCTCATCAAGATTTTTGAGTACTGAAAACACGATTTTGTACATCAAGTATAACACTACAATTATTAAAAATTTGAAAAAAAATACAGCTAATTTTAATATTACATTTAGATAGTGAGCTGTATTCTCAACACACTGAAAAATTTATCGATCTCATTAACTTATTTACTTCTACCATTCATGCACAATTGCACATCCCCAAATCAAGCAACGTAAGAAGAAAAACATGACTTTAAGGCCCAATAACCAAGACAGGCCAACAAAGAATGGACCTTATCTCCAAGCCCATTTGACTCATAATCATGTTTTAAGTAAGGGAAATCATGTTTGCCTGTATTTATTTTCGTCCATTGGTTTTCTTTTGTTTTATTCAATTTGAATGAAATAAATAGCATAAGGTCATCTTTAATGGTTGGGCTAAAAGTCAAATATTTTAGTCTAGAAAATTTAGCTTTTAGCCCAGAAATAGCTTTTTTGCTTCAACCGTTCTAGCCTAAAATTTTAGCCTGATATTATTAAAGAATGAACTTAGGTTATTTTTTTTTCTTAAATTAAATTAAAAAAAATAAATATTTAGACTATTGTAAATTAATTATGAACATTTTAATCTAAAAAAAATTAAATTTCTATAAATATTGAAAAATCACTAAATTTTCCACAAAACAATCCTTCAACCAACAGTCCTTAAAGGCCAGCCATAGGATCAAAATTATAGCCGTTGGGTTTTTGTGGGTGGCCGACACACGCCTGACGGCGGAGTCCATCCCTGTTGGGAAACCTTTGCAAGCGCACTGTGTGGGGCGCGTTGGAGCGTGGGCGGGCTGAGATTGGCCCAACAACCTGCAAGTCCACTCGCATGTGGGGGGGGGGGGAATTTGGTCCAGCTTTGATATTTGACATTTAGCCCAAAGTTTTAGCATGGGTTGGAGAGTGTTTGGAGATGGGAGAATTTGAAGAAAAATTTAGCATTTGGTCTACCATTGAAGATAATCTAAATGCGATAAGTAGAAAAATGACGTGTGGATATCATTTCCGTTTGTTAATCCTTCGTAGAAATACACCATTCAAGTTTTTTTTCTTTGGTCGATTTTCACTTGTTTGAAACTCGAGTTTTAAAAAACTCATGCATTTCTCGAAAAGAAGTAGGCATGATATTAGTGGTGTACAAGATTTGGGGTTGGTCAAAAGCAAAATGACATCTATGAATATATTGAAAATTAGTGGATAACAATAATGGGACACGTCACCAACACTTATCCCTCTTTATGTCCAACGTTTCCATACACTTTGCAAAATTATTATGGTTCCAGAGCATTACATCCACAGATCAATTCTGAATATAAGAGTCGGATAATTTAGAAAAGCAGTGCGCTATTCACGCAATTTTTTTTTTTTTTACGCAATTATTTTAATTTTCGATCACTGAATTAAATGAAATGAAAAAAATTATAAAACAAAAATTAGCAAAGCATTTGTAAAATTCACATTTGTATTTTAGACATTTTCTATTTTTTTTTTATCTTAACCTTAAACTCTAAACCCAAAGAATCGTTTTATTAATCAAATTGGTCTAATTCACATCTGTATTTTAGACATTTTCTATTTTTTTTATCTTAACCTTCCTTTTTTGGTAATTTAATATCTTAAAATTCATGTGACTTTACTATTTTGCAATTAATTATAAAAAATCTTAGAGTGCTTAAGTAATTAAAAGATCCAATTAAGAATAAATCTCCCAATTTTCTTTGCCGGGCGAGCCCTTTTCTCCGCCGTCTTCAAGGCGGCACCCTTCATGTATAAAAAGCCATCTTCCCTATTTACTTTTCTGAGCCAATTACCATTTCAGACACCATTTTCTTCTTCTCCAGTCTCTCTATCTCCTCCGCCGATGAACGCCTTCTCTCTCTCTGTAAGTTTGACGAGAATCCCAACTCCGTAATCTGCACCTCAATCTTCAAAGGATCAGGATAGCTGTATATCTGTATATGCATATTGATATAGTTCCAATTTTGTATTTTCTGTTGTTTGAAGATTTGATTTTGCTGAGCAATTATATTGCTTAAAATCTTTGATATGAATTCCCTGAGTCTTCTTTGTCACGCAACAATGAAACCCACCTGTAGAATCCTCAACAGATGTCGAAACTCGGCGTTTTTCGGGTTCCCACAGCCTGCAACATGGCTGCATGGTTTGACAAAGACTGGAAATTCGTCCAGTTTTTGTGTCAATTTTGAGCAAAACTGCCAATATCACGCCAACCCTTTTCGTATTTCGGGGTTTGGAGGCGTTTTCGATGATGCCCGAAAAGCCTCTCAGGTTCCCAGTTGGAGTCTTGGCCAATCTGGGATAATATCTAGGTCTTATAGTGCTGGCGTTGGCACAGCTAGTAGGGGTGTTTCTGTGATTGCTAGTTTGGCATCCAGGTTTCGGAACCTTTCAACGTCAATTGAGACCCGTGTGAATGATAACAATTTCGAGAAGATATATGTTCAGGGTGGTATAAATGTGAAGCCTTTGGTGGAGAGGATTGATAAGGATGAGAACATTGTGAGAGAGGAAGAATCGAGGATAGAAGTTGGTGATGGAAAGAAATCAGAAAGCTTGAATGAAGCTACGGTTGTGACTTCGGAGAGAGAGTATTCGGATATTGAGAAGGAGGCGTGGAGGCTATTGAGAGATTCGGTTGTGCAATATTGTGGGAACCCTGTGGGGACTGTGGCTGCAAATGATCCCGGTGACAAGCAACTGCTGAATTATGATCAGGTCTTTATCCGTGATTTTGTTCCATCGGCACTTGCTTTCTTGCTTAAGGGAGAAGGGGAGATTGTGCGGAACTTCCTCCTTCATACATTGCAATTGCAGGTAATGGTTTGCCACTTATCTTGGTTCCTTTCTTTTCAAGCATTAATTGTGCCGGTTTTTTGGTTTTTAATACATGGTATCATGAATGGAAAGTTTCAAACCTCACTTATATATAGTTTATCAATTAACTAGTTTTCAAATAATCAAAATTTCCTTGTGAGGTCGTTTAAACTTTGCTGATTTGGAGTTCCCGACTTGACACGATTCCTTTTACTTTCTTCCAAAATGAAGATTCCATTGGTTTTGGCAGACCTTGACTAAGTTTTCATGTCGACCCTGGTTTTGTGTAATGTACCTTGAATTAATGAAGGTTTCTGGAATTTCTGATTGTATGTTTCTAATATTGTAGAGTTGGGAGAAAACTGTGGATTGCTATAGCCCAGGACAGGGATTGATGCCTGCAAGTTTTAAAGTTAGAACTGTACCTCTCGATGGAAATAAGACTGAAGAAGTTTTAGATCCAGATTTTGGTGAATCAGCTATTGGACGTGTTGCACCTGTAGATTCTGGTAAGTACATTATAACTATATTGATTCTACCAATAACAAATGTGATTCTTTATGGATGGTGCACACGGTCTGCTGTTGTTGCCATCCAGGTGTTATTGGCTGCTGATCCTGTGCATTTCGTAACTCTTCTTAAAAGCAATTTTTTTTCAAATGACCTTCCAAAGTTCCTGCATCTAATGGGTAATGGTTTGTTGATTGTGTAACTTCTCTGACAGGATTATGGTGGATTATTCTGTTGAGGGCTTACGGAAAGATAACTGGTGACTATGGATTACAGGAGAGGGTGGATGTTCAAACAGGCTTGAAAATGATTCTGAACTTGTGCTTAACTGATGGGTTTGATATGTTTCCATCTCTTTTAGTCACTGATGGCTCCTGCATGATAGACCGGCGGATGGGTATCCATGGTCATCCCCTTGAGATCCAAGTGAGTTACAAGGCTACTTTGAATATTTCTTAAGGATGCATTCATCACTTTATGTTCTTTCTGTATTCTGCAAAGTAAGAGGCTACTTTGCTTGGTTTTATTACCGTAAGTGTAACCTTCTTGAACATGAATTCTGAAAATTGTTAAAACTAGACTTTTTAAGCATACTGGGCTGTGTCCTGCCCGTGCCCTTTTGTATGATATTACACCAGTTTTATGGTCATTTTTATTCTTATTTCAGCCTTGTATTATGAATTTTAACCCTCCGTAATAAAGTTTGTTTATGGCACCCAGTGTTTGGCTAATATCATTATGCTGAATGATTCTTTAGGCCTTATTTTACTCGGCTCTTCGATGCTCTCGTGAGATGCTTGCTGTAAATGATGGATCCAAGAATTTGGTAAGGGCCATCAACAACAGACTCAGCGCTTTGTCATTCCACATCAGAGAATACTATTGGGTGGATATGAAAAAGATGAATGAGATATATCGATATAAGACAGAAGAGTACTCTACGGAGGCTACCAACAAGTTCAATATCTACCCTGACCAAATTCCTCTATGGTTAATGGACTGGATTCCAGAAGAAGGCGGGTATTTTATTGGCAATCTACAACCAGCCCACATGGACTTTAGGTTTTTCACTCTTGGAAATCTTTGGTCCATTGTTTCATCATTGGGTACTCCGAAGCAAAATGATGCTGTATTGAATTTGATTGAAGCCAAATGGGATGATCTTGTGGGCCATATGCCACTTAAGATATCCTACCCTGCCTTGGAGTTTGAAGAATGGCGTATAATCACTGGCAGCGACCCAAAGAATACGTGAGTTAGCTGCCTGTTTATATTTGCTAGTTGTCTTGTTCTAGCATCTAATTTGTTCATGATCAGTTGATCACTGAAATATGTTTGTCTTGACTCCTACAGCCCATGGTCATATCATAATGGCGGATCCTGGCCGACGCTCCTGTGGCAGGTAACCCTTGCTTCAATAACACTATAAATATTTTGTGTGATGCTCAAGAATAATGACTTTTTATGGAATTAGATGTCATGATACTATCATCGGCCTCCTTTGTTATTTGGTCGGAAGCTGTTACAGTTTACGTTGAGATTTTTGTTCTTGGTTTTCCCTCTAAAATGCTTTTTCTATCCTATTTCAGTTCACATTGGCATGCATCAAGATGGGCAGAATCGAACTAGCTCAGAAAGCAGCTGCTTTGGCTGAGAAGAGGCTTCGTTCGGACCGCTGGCCCGAATACTATGATACAAGAACAGGGAAGTTTATTGGAAAGCAAGCGCGGCTTTACCAAACATGGACCATTGCTGGGTTCCTTACAACTAAAATGCTGTTGGAGAATCCAGAGAAGGCGGCCTTGCTATTCTGGGACGAGGACTACGAACTTCTTGAGATCTGTGTTTGTGCACTTAGCAAGAGTGGCCGGAAAAAATGCTCCAGAGGTGCCGCTAAGTCTCAGATTCTTGTATAACGAGTCCCATTCTTTCAAGGGCAAAAAGTTTGGCCTTTGTACTGTACAGCGACACATTTAGGATAGTGTATGAAGAAGTTGGATAGCGCAGAGTACTCTGATTCAAAATATAGCATGAAGGTTGTATTTTTTTCATGCATCTGATGCTTATTATTTGTTTGGTCGTCCGATTAATCGGTCTAAGTTGATCGGAATGCACATTTACAGTGAGAAATGTGTACTTTGTAACAATTACCACATGTCTACTTGTATAACAGTTACATGACTCTATCTTATACATTACTTTTTGGTTATTGTTTATTGATACTTTTACCCGAGTTGTTTTATTTTTTCACTTTTTTTATACAAGCGATATTAAGGCATGGAGAATTCAGCTTCAGTCTAAGATTTGTTTGAGTCACGTTAAACTTCAAATTTGCTAAAACAAGACGATTGAGATCCGAAGCTCCATAAATGATGTGAGAGTGAAAACCCGCTTTATTTTGTTTTCCACGACATCACTTAGCGCTAGTTACCTATATTTATAGTTTTAAGCCACTGTGGTTCGGTTGTGGTTTGAAACTAGGTGTGTTGATTGTTATGAAATAAGGTTCGAATGAAAGGGCTCTCCTCTCTCCCTCGGTCTCCCTCCTCCCTCACACACACAGAGGCGCAGATTTGTACAACAAACAATACAGTCCACTAATATTTATAGTTTTGTTCGTCAAAACAAGTCTTAACCCCAGAAAAGCGACTTCCCCCAATCTAAACAAGCAGAGCTTACGGATCAGAGCGAAGGCGGTGCATCTCCTGCAGTCTCATATAGTCCTTAATGGACAAGGTCGAAGCATGCCTCCTCCCTTCATCCAGCACTCGACGCCCGACTGTTGCTTCGATCCTTTGTTTCCTCTCCATGTATGCAATCCCAGCGCCCTGAGGTCCACCGTACTTCTGCAGTGGAGCCAACGAAAATGGCAGCTCAAAGTTGTGCAGCATATTTGTTTCTGTCCCTTTGTCCACAGGAGCATTTGTATCAACCAACTTCCCTGCACCAGCTGCTGCTTCCAATGCTGCCTCTGTTGCTTGCATACCAAGCTGCCCTGCTACATTTGCCTTTTCCCTGTTGTTGCCCATACCGGTTGTTCCATCTGTTGCCTCAGCAGCTTCATCACCTCGTTCAGCAGCAGCTCCATCACCTCCTCCAGGCCTTGCAACATAATAATTTCTCGATTGAGTCCATCTTCTCGAGAATGGATCATAGCCAGCCTCCCCTGCTTTCAGTTTCATATTCACCGGTTTCAACCCTGAAGCATTTTTAAAATTCTCGAACCTGTTCTTCCTGTTCATTTCAGCTAATCGAATAGCTTTGCTATCTTTCCCATGAGTTTGCCTGGATGCTTCTAATTCCTGGAGCCTTGTCTTGATCCTCTTAGCTTCTTCCTCATCGCCTTTACTTTCTGCAACATCCAACTGCCTCCTCAATCGTTCCTTCTCAACTGCAATGTTAACGGGCCTTGCTGAGGCCTTTTTCTCCTGCAACATTTGCTTCACAGTAGCTGCCGAGTAAACAAATGTATTTGATTTCTGAAGGGCCTCCTTCTTTTCTAATACTTCCTGTTTACTTGGCATTTGGCCAGCGGTATGCTGCACTTCCTTAAACCACTGTTCAAACTCGTTCTCCTGTGGAGGAGAATCTGAGACATTAGCCATCGGCCATTTGGAAGCAGAACTTTCGCTGCCAAAAATACAATTCAAATATTTATGTGTGACTTTATCCTCTAGCTTGTACTCCCGGCCAGGATTTGTGGCATCCACATTCTGAACCATGCAGAGCCTGTAGACAGGACCTTCTGGTGATCTGCCACATCCAACCCTAACAAAGCAGCCCTCGATTAACTCCTCAAAAAATGGTTCCATGACCCATTTTCCAAGTTTTGACCTTGGTATGGTAATATCCTTTATGTCCTGAAATGTCGGTGCCTCTGAATGTTCCTTATCGCTGTCAAAGAATTCATCATCTGCATTGAATGCTTCCTCTTCAGTAGGCAACCTCTCCAGAGTCTCAATTTGACTGGAGTGACTCATATTACGTTTGCTTGGTGATATATCCTGGCTACCTGCGCCTCCTTTGGACGCGTCCCTCAACTTATGGTAGTCCTTTGAGTCTTGTTGCTTCAGACGTTTTGCTCGCAATTTATTCAATGCATCATCCATAGCAGCTGACTTGTCAGCAGCCCTGGCTGATGAGCGTGCACCGCGAGAGAATGGAAGAGGATCCTCTTTCCTTGATTGCGTGGATTTTGCATCGCCTCTTTTTGATCTCAACTTTTCCATGAAATCCTTGCCGCCTTTCTTCTCTGCTCGACTTGTCAAAATCATCTCTCTTTCAAGTTCACTCATTAATGCAAGCCGTTTCCGGTCAGTATCATTCTTGTATAGATCGGGGCCAATATCAGATTCATCACTACTTTCACCCTCATGATCAGAACCATCATCGCTAGAATCATATTCTTTGTCACTACCCCTTTCAGTAGGTTCAAACCTCTTCTTCAGAGGTACTTGAGAGGGCTTCTTGCTTCCATGATCATCATCTTCATCCATGGAGTTACTTCCATCATCAGAATAGGAACCTCCATGTTGCTTTCTAGAAGATGGAAGCCAGTCCCGCTTTTTCCCAGCTGAACTAGTTCTTCCTGCGGCCTCAAGGAGGTCACTTTCCAATTCTAAGTCTGACATCCCCACTGTCGGTGTCTCTGCTACAGATGTCTCTCCTCAATTGGTTGTAAAAGCGACTAGTTCAGCCACAAGAAGAAAGATTAGCATATACTTGGGAGATGTTTCACTAATATAACATAAGAACAAGAAAGTAAACTGCCAAATAATAATCGTATTCGAGTTACAATTGATGATGGTAATCTATGCCCGTCTAGGAAAACCAACTTGTTGCAGTATTAGAGTGGCATGCAGAATCTTTCTCAAAGTCTATGATAGCAATGCAAGTGAAGTTGACATCACACTGAAAGAAGATATTCAGTAAAAATATCGTGCACATAAATATGAATCCTTGATCCTTTCATTTAAGAAATGGTCATAACAATTCCGTTACACAAACAATTTAAAACATCTTAGCAATTCCATAATTTGCACTTAAAGGATAGATCTTACCAGTTTAAGCATTGATCAAAAACTCATACACACACTGTATATACGTGCACAAGCGCGTGCACACGCACCATAAGAAAGCGAGGTAGAAAGCAGGTTAACAATGCAACCGTTATCTCACTACGTGGTTAATCAGAACAAAAATCTTTATGAGACTAACCTAGACTTTCTCAGAAAAGAACAATACGCAGCTTACCGAATACATTCTACATGCTCTTTTCTCTCATAATCTATTGACAAAATCATCCCACGAATCCCACCTCATTCAACTGATAAGGAAAGTGGCAAACATGACAAACAGATACTAGTTTCTAATTCGAGATTAATTCACTTTCCACATAATTTACTCTCTTAAGAGGATTCCAAATCCGAATGGCCCTTCAATATATCCTAAAGTCAAGGTTTTCCGACATGCTAATCAAAATGCCACCTAGGTTGCTAGCAAAAACAGTTTTCTCAGTTTGCCTAACGAATATTACAAAGACAACATCAGAAGGAGAAAACAAAAACAACATCAATAATTGCATGGATGTAAGAACAAATTGCAAAAATAAAAATAAAAATCCTTTCTCGGACAAGAAATCGGGGAAATTATAAAGGTAGCCAACTTTGGGACTTGTTGAACACTTTTTGCCAACTTATGCATTCATGCTCTTCTCTCATAAGTTACTAAACAATCGTCCATGAAGTCTACCTCATTCAACCGATAAGGAAATAGACAACCAAGACTCTCCAAATGCTTACATACTAATTCAATACAAATTCTAAATTGCATGCCCCTTTTATAAAACATTAAAGTCAAGACTTCCCAAAGTATAATCACAATTCCATCTAAATTTCTAGCACTAACAGTTTCCGAAATTCACCTACTAACATTAAAGAGAGAAATTTAGCCACCTTCTTTCGGATTTTAGAACTTTAACCACTCGAAGGGGTTTCATGCACTCGAGGGCACCCGAAGGGAATGCCTATATTTCTAAATCTTCAGCAAACAAAAAAGAAAGGATAAAAGTCCTCAATTTGTTTGCAAAACAGGTTAGCTTTCCAAATTTCTCAAGACATTGATATCACTCAAGGTAGGAAAAAAAACACAGAGAAAATAAACCAGATTTCTCAAGGTCTCATTATGCACAAAACCACAACATAAAAAGAGAATTGCATGCAGGGGTTAAAAATCTACAACCTTTGATTCCAGCACAGTACAAGAACTAAAAACCCATAACCCTTGTTTTGGTTTGCTGACAAAATTAAAGGGAAGGAAAAAATGCTACCTTTATGATCAGAGGGGGCTGAGAGAACAAAATTCCTGAGAAACCAAACAAATTTGGGTTCAGCAGCAGCAAATGGGCAGGACTAAGTAGGGCACATCACGGTATGTTTCATGTTTGGCAGCCGAGAAAGTGCGGGAAAGTGATGCCTTCGTGTAGCTGTTCTGTGCGTGCAGTCTCCTCCAGGCGGCACGTACGAAGTTGCAGCACTCTACGAGGGTGGCGAATATATCGTGGAAAAACAGTGTAATCTGCAGCATAAAATATAAAATTAAAGGGCTGTTTGGTGTGGCCCTACACAATCTACTAAAGTACTAATTAAATATTAACTTAAGACAAACAAAAAATTAGAATCTTGGGCCCTTAGCCCATCCCATGAAACCTTTTTTAATGTGCATGTGCTTTTGAACCCATTATTTAATTGGGCTTTTGGCTGAAATAACCATTTTCGAATTTTAGTTGCTGAAATGTTACGTTTTTAGTATGTTGTCGTTATTTCTTCATTATGTCGTTGATATGTGAGCCATATGTTATTAACATTTGATTTTGATCATTTTAACAACTAAATGCAAAATATAATTATTTTAGCTAATTGCCTTATAGAATTAGAAGTGTGTTATCCACATATATTTTTTTACTTCTCACACATCTCTTGTTAATTTCTGTCATTTGATCTTTTTCAATTCATCCGATTCGACGGTTGAAAATTAGAAGAATGTGTGAGAAGTAAAAAGTGATGTGTGGATATCAAACACTCATAATGAAACTTGAAAATTTTAGGTTAATTTAAAAAAATCCGGAAAAAAAAAATCAAAAATAAATAAAATAATTGGTTTCCGACCATGTCATCGATTGTGTACCTCTTACAAAAGTATGAGACTCTTTGTATTTTAATTTCACCCAACTAGACTCTGTCCCAACAGCCTTACTTAAGTTTCTTTTATATATTTTTTTTTATTTTTTATTTTTAACAAATGATATTCAATCTTAAGATAATATAGATTAAACGACAGAAAAGTAATCCATAATAATTAGATAAGAAACTCGCGATCCAAATTAGTCAAACCTCAAACACGTCACTCAAATGAAGAAGAATATCACTCAACTTACTGACAGTGAGTGGAACACCATAAATTTGAGTTGAAAGAAGACTTGGTCATGATCAAGTGCAACACAAATGAGCACAAAAAGACTACTAGTACTACCCATAACTCTTTTTCATCCCATACCACCCATAACCAGAAACTCACTTCAGTGGGTCCAGGACTTCACCACCCAATCAACCCCACCATTTTCACCAAAAATCCCCAACATTTTAGCCACAAACTTAATCAAGTCACACTTTGACAAGGGCTTAATCAAAGAAGCACGCCAGGTGTTCGATGAAATGCCTGAGAGAGACGTGATAGCATGGACTGCTATGATCGCCGGGTACACGTCTTGCAGTCACCACAACCACGCATGGGCGATGTTTTGTGAGATGGTGAGGAATGGGATGGAACCGAATGCTTTCACTTTTTCCAGTGTGCTCAAGGCTTGCAAAGGCATCGGAGCTCTTTCGTGTGGCGCATTGGTTCATGGGTCGGCTGTGAAGCGTGGAATGCAAGGCTCCATCTATGTCGAAAATGCACTCGTGGACATGTATGCTACTTGTTGTGCAAGCATGGAGGATGCGTGCGTTGTGTTCGATGATATTTGTGAAAAGAATGATGTGTCGTGGACTACTTTGATCACTGGCTTCACTCACAGAGGTGATGGATATGGCGGGCTTCGAGTTTTCCGACAAATGTTGCTGGTAAGTGGATGCTTCATCCTCGCATTTCATTAAATGAATTGGGTTTTCGAAGAATGTACATAACTGTTTGTAATGTACGTGAGATGTTTGAATGCATTGGCAAAACAGGAGGAAGCAGAGCTGAATCCGTTTAGCTTTTCGATTGTGGTTAGAGCTTGCGCTTCAATTGGCTCACAGTCTTTTGGAAAGCAGATACATTCAGCAGTGATTAAACACGGATTCGAGTCCAACCTTCCTGTCATGAATTCAATACTGGACATGTATTGCAGATTTGGTTGTTTATCAGAGGCAAATCAGTGCTTCCATGAAATAAGCGAAAGAGATTTGATTACATGGAACACCTTAATTTCCGGATACGAAAGATTGGATCCTAGAGAGTCCCTGCGTATATTTTCGCATATGAACTCAGAAGGCTTTAGTCCGAATTGCTTCACATACAGCAGCGTTATATCGGCATGTGCTAACCTAGCAGTTTTGAACTGTGGTGAACAAGTTCATGGAGGAATTATTCGGAGAGGCCTTGATAAGAATTTGGCGTTGGCTAATGCACTTATCGACATGTATGCCAAGTGCGGAAGCATATCAAACTCGCACAAAACTTTTAATGAAATGTCTGATAGAAACCTAGTCTCCTGGACTTCCATGATGATCGGATATGGGGCTCATGGATATGGAAAAGAGGCTGTTGAAATGTTTGATAAGATGGTCAAATCAGGCATAAGACCCGATCAAATCGTGTTTATGGCAGTTCTGAGTGCTTGCAGTCATGCTGGCCTCGTTGACGAAGGCTTGAGATATTTCGAATCAATGATAAGTGATTACAAAGTTACTCCGGATCAGGACATTTATGGGTGTGTGGTGGATTTGCTAGGTCGTGGGGGAAGAGTTGAGGAGGCTTATAAACTAATTGAGAGTATGCCATTTAAGCCGGATGAGTCTGTTTGGGGAGCACTGCTCGGAGCTTGTAAAGCACACGAGCTTCCACAGTTGCGAAAAGTGGCTGCTCAGAGGTTATTAGAGTTGACACCGAATATGGTTGGCACGTATGTGATGCTGTCAAATATTTATGCAGCTGAAGGTGAATGGGGGGAATTCGCAAATACGAGGAAGATGATGAGAGGTATGGGGAACAAGAAAGAGGTAGGACGGAGTTGGATTGAGGTAAGAAACCGGGTTTATAGTTTTGTTGTGGGAGATAAGGTGGGTTCTCATATAAACTTGGTGTATGAGGTTTTGGAAGTTCTGATTTCGCATATAAAAGCGGCAGAGCACATAAATGATTTAGACTGCTCTATACATGACCTACATGACGGAACTTGAACAGAAGCTGGCTGAAACACGTTTCTGACAAACAGAAGGATATTATTTGAGTGTCCTAAGATTCTAGTCAGCGAATATGATACTGGACAGCCTAGTGAGTACCGGGAAGGATGCAAATCTGGTGCACAAGTTATTGTGCCCACAGTAAACGCTGGGTAGCCAAGTGTGGGCAGATAGCTGCTGAAAGCACAAAGTCAGTTCAGGGCATTCTTGCGAAGGAGACTAGCTTTGCTTATTTAAAGCCAATAGAAGCAAAAGGAATTGTGAAGAAAAGGAAGAATTCGTTGTTCAATAAAGTTGATAGCTTTGTATAAGTTCAGATGTAAAATATGCAATTTTTGGTACCAGTTAGTACTTCGGCTGCCATCTGAACAAAAAGAATTGAGAGTTCTTCATTGACAGCTCTGGCAAATCTGCAACGTTATAAGAGCAGAACGAACATTAGCAGCAATAAATCTGAAAGAATAAACTAACAACTTTTTAACATCTACTGTAAAAAATTGCCTCGTTATCTCACTGCAGTACGAGGTCTCTTAAAAGCAACGCTCACCAGTTTCTAAAAGTAAAAAAGGGTCGCGATCCCACGAGGGTGAGCTAACTCCAAAAACCTGACGGTAAACGCTGGGTAGCCAAGTGTGGAGCGGATAACTGCTGAAAGCATCTAAGTAGTAAGCCCACCCCAAGATGAGTGCTCTCCTATTCCGACTTCCCCAGAGCCTCCGGTAGCACAGCCAAGACAGCAATGGGTTTTCTGCCCCTGTGGGGGTGGAGCGACAGAAGTTTTGAGAATTCAAGAGAAGGAATGGTGCTCATCATTACATTGATTTGATTGCAATCTCTAGCATGTTGCAGGTAAAATCATCAAGTAAAAGTTTTGCTGATATATACCAAGTCAGCTGCATTTTCTAGTTGTATTGTGGCCGTAAGTAATTAAATTGTGACTTTTGGTACTACTCCGATCATTCTGTTTGTGTTGTGTTTTTTGAACTCCCAGTGTTCATCCTTTTATCCAAAATCATATGCGTGTGTGGAGGCTTGGAGCTAGTATCTGATTGATCCTCTTTGCCCATGAGCCATGGTGTGTTGTCTCTGCACCTTGCTTGAGTGAAAAAGCATAATGATGGTGTCACACCATGTTTTTGCAGTTCTAGGTAGAAATGGAGAAGTTCTTCTAACCAACTTCGGTCTGTCATACATTCTGCTACCAGAAATCATTGCAAGAGCAAGATCCCTGCTTAAAGTGGTGAAAGAGGTGCCTATCCCTCACCACAATATCACGATCAAAAGCTTTTGAGATCAACTTTGCTGCCATGTGACAATCATTACATATTCGCAAATTCTTCATTATTCGTATAGGTGATGGTGGACTGATAGCGATAAGCCCAAACGCAATTGCGAGTTTCTCACTATGCCTGGACAGAGCGGTTTCCTTCTCTTCATCATCAATGTCAAAGGAAACCTCATTCGTATCTGGTGCGTAACCTTCCTTCTTCAATCTCTTAGCTATTTCATCCAACATAGCGTCAATCTCTTTTATTCGAGGGTGTTTCTTATCTCCTGCTAGAAATTCATGAACTACACCGTCTGCTTCAATCATGCTACAACCCGGAGTCTTTACAACCCCATTTTGCATCATTATTCCCCTAATCTCATGAACATCATCCCAGTTACCTTTTGAAGCACATATATTGGACAACAACACGTGGAACCCATCATGGTCAGGCTCTAGCTCAATGAGCTTTCTTCCTATCCTCTCACCCCTATCATGGTCTCCGTGTTTCTTACAGGCCCCTATTAAGGCACCCCAAGTAGCAACATCCGGCATCATAGGCATACTCTCAATGAGTTCCTCTGCCTCCTTGAGCATACCCGCACGTCCCAAAAGATCAACCATGCATCCGTAATGCTTAACATTGCGTTCTATCTTGTGTTCTTGGACCATGGAATCAAAATGTCGACGCCCCTCATCTACTAACCCCATGTGTCGACAAGCTCCAAGAACTCCCATAAAGGTTATCTCATTAGGTGCCACACCACATTTCTTCATCTCTGAAAATGTTTCAAGCGACTTCTCCACCAAGCCATTCATCGCCAACCCAAGAATAAGAGCATTCCAAGAAGAAACTCCCTTTTCTGAAGTCCCCTCAAAAACCTCCAAAGCGTTTTCCACGCACCCACATTTCATGTACATGTTTATAAGGGTTGTGCCCAAAAAGACATTAATCTTGAGACCATTTTTCCTAATATAAGCATGAATCCACTGGCCTAAGTCTAGGGCGGCCAATTGAGTGCAAGCTGATACAACACTCACCAAAGTGGTCTCATCAGGCCTGATCCCAAGAAGCTGCATCTCCTGAAACAATGCCAAAGTTTCTGAGAACCGGTCTTGTTGAGCATAACCTGATATCATTGCACTCCAAGACACGATATCCTTCTCAGGCATGGAATCAAATAAAGTCCTAGCGTCTTCGACTAGACCACATTTCAAGTAGCCCGATATCATTGAGTTCCATGATATCTGATCCAAGTTGTAGGCTGCATTGAACAGTTTTTGCGCAGCCATTATTTCCCCACAACTCGAATACATGTGAATAAACGCATTTTGAAGATTGACATAAGTTTCAATTCCAATTTTCACTACTAATCCATGGATCAATTTCCCTGTCTGGACAGCTAACAAGTTTGCACATGCTGAAAGAACGGTGACAACCACAACCTCATCCACCATAACTCCATTGGCAACCATTTCCAGAAACTTAGCCAAAGCCTCCTCATGCATCTCATTCTGCTCATAACAAGAAATCAACGCGCTCCATGAAACCATATCTTTCTCGGGCATTTCCTCAAACAACCGGCAAGCCTCATTCACGCAACCTGTCCTGCCAAACAACACGATCATAGAATTCGAAGCAATGGTGTTCCTCTCCGGCATCTGATCATATACAAACTTCGCCGTCTCCACATCCCCCGCCCTCACATACCCCGCCAGAATCGAATTCCAAGCCACCGAATTCAACAAAGGAATTTCATCAAACAACTTACGTGCGTCCCCCATGTTATCACAAACAGCATACATATTGATCAACGTGTTCTGAACATAAACATCCGAATCAAAACCCGTCCTGAAAACATGACCATGTATCTGTTTTCCTTCAAAACCCGAAACCCGAATAGCGCAGGCTTGCATTAAAAGCGGGTAAGTGTAATGGTCAGGACCGGCATTCTTCTCCAGCATCAGTTTATAAAGCTTCAAAGCCTTTTGAGGACGGTTTCTCTGTACGTAAGCTCTCATCATGGTGTTCCAAATAAACCCATTTGCGTCGTCGATTCGATCGAAGATTTTCAGGGAGAAATCGACGTGGACGAGGTGTGAGTCGGTGCAGAACTTGAGGATTCTACTTGCGGCATATGTGTCATTGATGAAGCCGGTAAGGATCATCTGAGAGAGGATTGGATTGAATTGCTTGAGATTTCGGCATTTCGGCAAATGGGTTTCCAAGATTGAGAGATTTATGCTTGGCTTCGACATGGGTTTGGGATTCAAAGTCGATTTCGCGGCTAAAGTTAGCGGCTTTAATTTGGATAAATTCATGAGGGGAAGAAAAAGGTTTGAAGAAAGACCCTAGTGTGACAGTTCTTGATAATACTTTCCGTCTCCTTTTCTTCAATCCCGCAAATCTTCATCCATTTAAATATTGACACGTCCAGTTTAGTAATCAAACTTGATTCATTGGTTGCGAAGTAGTAAATGATTTATATGAAATCAACATTATTTCTAATTAATCAAACTTGATTCAATTTTGATTCGGATAAACTAAAACTTATATGAAATCAACGATATTTTATTTTTACTATTAACGATGACACATGTATACTATTATAATAAGTTTTCTACTCGTATCACACACATTAGGGGATGAATAAATTTGATACCACTTTTTATAAACAATTTTTGGCACACGTTTTTATGAGGTTCATTTCGTAATGTATTTCAAATATCATGATTACCAAAAATCACTTAAATATGAAATCAGATGATTGTTGGATTAACGGTTTGAGGTTTTTTTTAGTAAAAGCGTAATCATTCATTTTCTTCACTACAAATAAATGTTTTAATAATTTTAAATTTATTTAGTTAAAATACATTATGAAGTAAATTCAATTAATAAAAAAAGGTATGTCAAAAATTATTTTAAAAAAATTGGTGTCATTATCTAGGAAGCAGAAAGTGAAAAGGCGACAGAAAAAGCTAAACAGTGAACTTTTTCCGACTCTGAAATTAAGCATCGACCCAAAGAACCCCAGAATGCCTCCGAAACGCAGAAACAAACCCGACCCGCATTTCGACACCCGATCCCCCTGCAAGAAACGGGCAGCTCCTCTGGAAGAAAATGGAGGAGAGGTAATAAAATCCTTTAAGTTCTGATTACTTGGTTTTTTCATTGTTTTTGTCTGTAGAGTTATTTTCTAGGCTATGCTGCATGCTGGTATCATCTGTTTGGTTTGAAAGAAAATAGCCCAAAGAATGTATTTTGTCTTTCATTTTGTTGGAAATTGACTGAGGAGTGAGGACTCAAACTTTTTTCCCTGCTTTCAATATATCTGGATTTTGTAAGCATATATGATTTTTCAGTTTTTTAAACGATCAATTGTAAAAGGTGAAGGGTGGAAACTTCAAGCAGAATGTATGTTTATATAGCTAGAAATAAGTGGGAATTCCTGTTCTTGAGCTTTAGTTTGATTAAATGTAATTTGGGTAAAAGTTTGCAAGGGATTTCTTGAATTGGGAATGTGGGATCACTGATATAAAGACAGTGATTGAAAATCAGTAGAGTAGGACCCGAGTTTGAATCCTCCTTCGTGGATTAGGGTAGTTTAAAATATCGCCTTGTCAAAAAGAAAAAGAATTGAGGTTCGATTATTTGCTCCATTAAACTCGAGCATTCGATTATTGTCTTGATATTTGGATGATTATGATTCAAAAGACTATTGAAAATGATAAATTTGCAGTCTTTCGAGTTTTTACCTTGCCAAATTTGGTATGTAAGACTGCATTTGCAAAAAGTGTCAGATTTTTCGGGGCACATTGTTTTCTTTTTACTGTTGGAATTTTTATCACATTTATGTTTGATTCACATTTCACAAGCCCAAATTTTCTGAATTGCAGAAAGTGCCGATTGTAACTCAAGAGAACTTTACCAATGGAACACCGGTTGAGGTTTGCAGTGATGAAGATGGTTTCCACGGTGCTTGGTTTGCTGCAACCATAGTGGAAGCAGTGGGCGGTGACAAGTTCCTTATCGAGTACCAGAGTCTGAGGACAGAAGATGATTCGGCATTTCTGAGAGAAGAGATTGATACCCTGCACATACGACCTAATCCACCAGAAAATGCTGTTGAGCATTTCAATTTGCTTCAAGAGGTTGATGCTTTGTACAATGATGGCTGGTGGGTGGGTGTGATCTCAAAAGTTCTTAGCGGCTCAAGGTACATAGTCTACTTCAGGAGCACTTGTGAAGAAATTGAATTTCAACAATCTGAGTTGAGGCTTCATCAGGACTGGATTGGTGGCAAATGGGTTATGCCTTCGCGGGTATGAACTTATACCTATCTAATTTCAGCCAATGCTTTTATTTCTGAGAGAAACCAACCTACTTTTATCACTGAGGATGCTACTGTGGAGGTATTCGAAGCCAATCAGCACTGCCACCTGTTTTAACCTTCCTACATGACTGTGCGTGATTGGCTTGAGATACCGCCGGAGTAGCATCACCATTGCATGGAAGATCTACTCCTAAGTGATTGGGTTGGGAAACTACCACCGTGGCATCCCAGGTGTAGGTAGTTTATGTGAATCAGTTCGAGAGTTGGGAAAATGGTTGAGTTCTACTTCTGTAGCATCTTCCAAAAACACTTGCCAACTTGCTAAATATAAGAAAGTGAACGAAAATTTGAATAAAATGAGAAGGGACTTGTTCAAGTTACCACACTACATTTTTGACTAAACAAACTGTGGTCCAGGTCTCAAGTGTTAGGTCCAAACCTGAAACCAAAACTTAAAAGCTAACTTCTATAAGGGTGTATGAAAGTTGGTTCAAACTTGCCCTTTCGAGCTAAGTGATGCATCACATCCCTGTTTCCATTACGTATAGCATATGGATCCACATTTGAGCTAAACCTGGAGCCCTTTGCCTAAATATTGATATATGGAGAGGCGCTTTTAAATATGACCAGCTGAATTTTTTTGTTCATATATGAATAAAGATTTAAGAGATGCAGCTCCACCTGCCAGCTGAAAACCACTCCATCTTCTTGTGTGCGGTTTCAGCGCCAAATGCTGATGATAGTAATGGCTGACTATGAGCACGGTCAAACATTTCGTTCTTTCAAAGATATATGTATTTGATTTGAGCTTTTGACTAATTGTTGGCTGATTGTGTGTTCTTGACAGGCTTTAAAGTTGTGATTAGTAATGACTAATCACTGATTACGGGTGAAAAATGAATGATTTCGTAAGACTACTTGGAGAATCAGCTACGAGATGATAGTGGGAGTTCACCTTGACTTGTTATATATGGTAGTGGAGGTTAAGTTTCCTGTCTTGGCCATCTAATCTAAAAAACCTTGAACTTGTAGCTGGAGATGTAATTTTTTTTTTTTTTTTACCGGCTATCGGAATTTGGTAGACTGTAATTTCCATTTACAGGATCATTTGTTCTAGCTTTCTTTCTGCATATGAGAAGGGCTTGCTGTTGCCTCCTTGTCTTTCACTTTGTGGCAAGTGTTGACTGTTCCGTCGGTTAGAACTTAAAAACTTTCCTTTTATTGTGGTTACATACTTACATGCATGTCCGTCTTTGAATTTATTGAACTGCAATAATTTCTGCAATTTAGTACCAAGCATTGAATGGGGTAAGCACCATCCTCAAGTAATGTTGGTGTCCATCACTCTATTTATCATCGTTGGATGAGTTTGAACTTCGAGATCTGTGGAGGAAATAGACATAAATTTCAAAAGTTAAATCCATCCAATGGTACTAAATAAGGTGGTGAGCATTACCACTACTTGGGAGTGATGAGCAAGAATGCACCCACATTTTTAGATCATATTTGTAGATCAAATGATGTAGCGGTTGATAGTTGGATACATTCGTTAATGATTTAAACAAGGAATTCAACCATAAACTGTTGCATCACGTGATCTACAAAATATAGTTCAACTAGATGGTCTCTTTGTTAGCGGAGGTTAGTCTTTTGAACAGGTAATTAAACCATTCAGTGCAATTAGCTTGCATTTCTTATATGCAAAATGTTAGTTAATTTGTGCCATTCTATGGTCCAAAATTCAAATTTTCACTTTAATGGTTGTTAACCATTAATTTGAATGTCACAGGGAATTAATGCTAATCAATAAGCAAATCATCTTTCTTACTTAACAAGGCAAAGGGATACCCCTCATTCGGTTACTGCAATTTATTTCAATTTATTTTTTACCAAGGGAATTGTTATTAGCACTTGAAAAATCTCATTTCGCACTCCAAACTTTCTATAAATAGAAAGAAAAATACACTTGTGAATAATGTAGAATGAGATTTTTAAAGTACTAATAACAATTCTCTTTATCAAACACTGCAATTTAATAATGCTCTGTTCAGATAAGAAAAGTGAAAACAGAGTAATTTTATGTATTTATTTATTTATTGCCCGGAGATGGAGCAATTTAAAGCAAATTCTCTTTAGACCAAATTATCAAAAATAGACGTAGCATTTGTTGTCTTCTTCCACCGCTAACCAGCTAACGTAACGTCTTAAGGGCAATTCCAACACGACTACACAAGCGCGTGATCCGTCGAGTCAGTTGATTAAGGCAATATATTAATCTAGTCAGTTAGTTGATTTAGGCCATGCATTACTCAATTGACTAAAACAGAATGTTGGTGCTCTCTAACTCAAAGCATGATCTTAATAAATTAAAACAATTTAAAATATGAAAATTATAATGAAAAACTCTTGATACTGTTTATTTTAACAAAAAATCATATTTTTATTCTAAAAAATTAATCCTTATATTATTCATTCACAACACATTTTTATTATTTTCATTAAAACTTAAAAATTTTAAATCATTTTCATTATTTTTCTTTTAAAATATCGCATAAAGGCCACTAAAACAGTATGTCTTTGCTCTCTAACTCAAAGCATAATCTCAATAAATTAAAACAGTTCAAAATATCGTCTTAGAAAGGCCATAATCTAAGAGAAACTTAATAAACAAAGAAATTGTTCATAAAAAAACAACTTTAAATATTATTAAATATTATTTGATTATAAAGTACCCCTAGTAAAAGGGCTTTCACACCAACAAGAACAACATAAGAACAACAGAAAGGCACGAAGGCCTATAAATCCCAAAGACCCAAAGGCCCTTCACCTCATCCCTCAAACCTCCACAACTCCCTTGGCCTCCTCCTTCACCTCCTTCCCCTTCCCATCCTTCCCAGAAGCACTTTCCTCAACCTCAAAAGCACTTACAGGAAAAGTCCTAAACAACCCAGCAGGGGTCTTGAAGGTGATCTTCCCAGTTGGAGGGTCATCAACGTAAATGTCACTGAGCTGCACCCACACCAGAAGCTCCTTGGTCTTCACCCCTGTCAGCTTCTTGATCTTGCCCTTCTCAACAATGGCTGTGACCTCAGGGGCATAACTGACCAACTTCCCAATTTTCTCAAACTTGTGGGTGTAGCTCTTCTTCTGCTTGAGCCACACAAAGCCAGTTTCTCTGATAATCCCACACTCCTCAATGTCCTTGAGGGGCAAGAGGCCATTGGGGAGGAAGATTTCTGAGAGAAGCTGCTTTGATTTTTGTTGGCAGATTTCATCTCCATGGTAGAGCTCATCTGCTTTGGACTTGATCTCTGCTGTGATGAGAGAAGACATTTCGGTCTTTTTCTAATTTTGTTGGGGATTGTTCTAGATTTTGTGAAGTGGTGATTAAGTTGGGCTTGGGATGTTTGAAGTGTGGAAAGTGGTCGGGTTTATGTAGGTGTGGAGATAGTACTTTGCCCTTGTAGTTTGTCTAAATCACCAAAATGCCATTGGAGTTTTGTCCTTGTATATCTTAAAGAATTGCAAGATGTGCCCTTGGTTGTTTTTTTTTTTTTTTAACAAACGATATTATATACATTAAGGAGGAGGGGTGGGTTTAGCCTCACAATGAATTAGTAATAATGTGGTTTAAATTCGTTTTTGAAAACATGGATTAAGAATTTGATCATGGAAATCAAATATGTTAAGTGTGAGTATCATTTTGATTTTTGACAAATCGTGCATTTACTAAAACATAAGAATCACAAAATACGTGGGCTCACATTAAATTCAATTATCGCATACATGAACAATCAAAATATCAAGTCACCAAGGTGTTTATCTTATGCATAAACAACCATGTATTATTTGGATTCATATCGACTTTCTTAGTTTCACATAAGTAAGCATACCATATCTTAGGTATTTATTATCCTCGACCACAACGGGAGGTCAAGTGATTATGAACGAATTTCAAGTTCATATTCCACACGGCACGTTCTAGGTTTGATTTCTAGTACTGTTGAATCACACGATGGTGGCCAAATGGAGGTTGAAATGTCTCTGTGAATCTTTTCAGTGCCCGAAATAGGGGACTGATATTGCAAAGCCACCAGTTGATCTGTTTGAAAAAAAATATTTACCATCCTTACATTCATGCAAATGGAACGTGAAATCCATCCAACTAAATGAAGACAAAGGATAACACTCTAAAAATGTTATCATACACTCCTTGTTGTACAAATTTCTTCATATTATCACTAAACCAAAAGCTAATTGGTGATTGATTTGAGTTAAGCCCATGCAACTTAATCCATAAACATCTAACTTAATTCACAGTGGTGGAAAGGTATTGTGTCATTGCATGACGACGTGGGTTCGAATCCCGTTGGTAGCTAATTTAGCATATAACTTACTAATGCTATCACTTGACTCAAAAAAGAAAAATTTACAAACATGGGCACCGTGTAATTATGGTGAAGAGTAGGGGCCTTTAGGACCCATCATTCACACATTTGGAAAGGGATCCTCTTCGGATCCCTTTCTCTTAATCCACAAAATTAAGGAATTTGTGCCGTTCAAATTTAATCAAACGGTTAAAGTTAATATAACTTTTAAAGTGAACTCATATTTATAACAGTTGGATCAAATTTTAATAATACGGATTTTCGGATTTGATGAATTAAGAGGAATGGATCTGGAGATGATCAATTTCCCACACATTTATGGTGGAGTTGGGGAGAGTTATGGCGAATTTAAGGTTGGGAAGAGGGGGGTTGAGGTGTAGCCACTCATATAGCACCACGTGTATTGTAGTTGGGGAACGGTAACGAGATGGGAGAAGAACCATGAAACAAAATCACGTCCTCTCACCTGAACTACACTGCTTTAATTATTCTTTTTTTTTGTTTTTAAGATTTTGGTACATGCAACAATAAATAATTCAAATTGGGTCCCTTCTTTTACTTCAATTTTGCTACTGCCTACCATCCAACTAATTCTTTATTTGGCATTTAAAGATAACTATTTACAGGAAAAAAAAAAAAACAATGTCAAAGAAAAATGTAGTTCAGACACATTTCTCATTCTGGTCACTGTTCTAAAAGTTTATGTCTAACGTCGGTTAGATCTCGTCTAGTATTGCTAGGTGACTGACTACTATTATGATTTTAAATTTCTATTTAAAAAATAAGCAAGGGCGTATAAACATGCTTAGACGCTCACTTAGTCCACCTAGATAGGGAGCTTTATATATAGAGACCAAAACTTTCACTATTATTAAAGAACTCCACTAGTTTTTAAATATGTCAAGGAGATACAAAAACATAAAAACAACTAAAACTCAGCCCAAAAAATGGAAACAATGTTTTAAATTATTACTCATACCCTAAGACCTTAGAATTATTAATAGAATCCAACCCTACAACAAAATTAATATGTGTCATAAGTTTAACCCATCATCGAGTATTTCTGTAGAATCAGTTTTGAAACTATGTGCACAATCAGTTTGTATCATTTATTACTAGAATCAGTTCAACCCATCATCGTCCATTTTTGCATAATCAGTTCAATCAGTTCTCGACCATTTTTGCAGAATAAGTTCAACCCGTCCTCGAACATTTTTGAAGAATCAGTTCAACCCGTGTTCGATCATCTTTGCATAACCAGTTCAACCTGCATTCGACCATATATGCAGAATCATTTCAAACCGTTCTCGACCATTTTTTGCAGAATCAGTTCAACCCGTGTTTGATCGTTTTTGCTAAACCAGTTTAACCCGCATTTGACCATATTTGCATAATCAGTTCAACTTGTCCTTAACCATATTTGCATAATCATTTTAACCCGTCCTATACCATTTCTACACAATCAGTTCAACTCATCTTCGACCATTCTTGCAGCATCAATTCAACCCGTATTTGATCATTTTTGCATAATCAGTTCAACCCGTATTCGACCATATTTGCAAAATCAGTTCAACCCGTTCTCGACCATTTTTGCAGCATCAGTTCAACCTATATTCAATCATTTTTGCAGAATCAGTTCACCTGTCCTGGATCATTTTTGCAGAATCAATTCAACCTGTATTCAACCATTTTTGCAGAATCAGTTCGACCTGTATTCGAACATATTTGCAGAATCAGTTTAACTCATCATCAACCATGTTTGCAAAATAATTTCAATCCGTCATAAACTATTTTTGCAGAATCAATTTCAAATAACAACCTAGAAAAAAATTATTTAGTTAACACAGCTGCACTAGTCTAAGTAAATAATAAACAAAGAGAGATCCTTAAATCCTGCTGACCCGATGACGAAATCTGATTTCTATTCCAAGCCAAAATACTGCTACCACCACCATACTGTGTCATTAGATTTTTAGCTTTCTTCACCCTCCATAATACTTTATGTAGTTGAATGGTATTATGCATGACATTGAGAAATAATAATAATATTCAATAATTTAATAGAAAAGAAGATTTGTTACTGGTTTTGTTATTTAAGTCTCCATGCTTTTCTTATACGAACTAAACTACTAAGGTTACAACAAACTACATATAAATCATCAGTTCAACCTCTCCTCGACCTTTGTGTAGAATAAGTGTGTATTGTTTTAGTAATCAGTTTGTATATTTTCAACAAAACTACATATGTGCTATCAGTCCAACCCGTTCTTGATCAATATTGCAAAATTAATTTCGAAAACATGTAGAATCAATTTTGCATAGAAATCCATTGTTCTCCTGGAAGCATGAAGTCCATCGCACCCAAGATGAGAGGGGAAAATGAGTTCTTGATTGAACATTGCCTGGTCTAAAGCTTGCCTCTTTCCTAACTCGGATTCACATATTCATCCGGAAGAACACTCAAAACATGTTTCGTTTTTTAATACTAGACGACAGGGGCATACATTTGATGCAAAAGATCAAACTAGTTTGGAATTGTGATGCAGTTGTCGACTTCTGAAACTAACTTGGGACTGTTCAGATGGATGCAAGTAAGAGAAAAACGAAAATAATAAGAGGACGAAATGACATTTTTCCCCACATTCACAACATTCAAATTGGGTTATTAAATTATGAACAGGTTATAGGTGGCTACAGATTAATGAGCTTTGAGTTGTCTCATAGATTGAATAAAAGAGAGGTTAATTTGTTGACTTAGACATCGGATTGGGGATTTCAAGAAGCCTTTTTTTTTTTTACTCTTAATTAACAATTTAATATATTGTAAGATATAATAAAATAAAAATAAAATAAGAAACGGGTTGATATACATTTGAGCAAAAATGGCAAATTTTGTATACAGATAAGAAAACTAGGAGCATGGAATTTTGGGAACCCTAGAAGTTACATTTCAGAGAATTCCTTACTTCCATTGCAGGCTCAGTGGAGATCTCAGCCAACCAAATATGGTGAAGGAGGTAGAAGTCTGAAAAGAGAAAGAGAGAGAAGGGAACACAATGTGAAAAACCTTTACCACTCTAAAAGGTATCTTCATAACTTAAACTCCAGCGAAAAAGAAGCCAATGATGTCATCTTTCATATGTATTAATTTTGTCTCTCCTTGAAATGTTTTAAAAGTGTTGTCTTAATATAAAATTAAGTATTAAAAGTATACTCTATGTGTAATTTTTCCCTGTTAGATATTTATATGAACACTCATTATATGTTTGCTCTTCATGTTTTAAATATGCTCTAAAATTGTAAAATTGGCCTAATCAGATAAATAGTCATCGCGGTGATAAGGTAATCAGAAGATAGTCTTCATGGTAAAAAAAAAAAAAAAAAAAAAAAAAAAAATTTAACCCTTGTGGTGTCGTCCTTTAACAAATTTAGTCCAAAAATAATTTTTTTCGTTAAATATTCATTAAATACAAAAATAAAAATGTACTTATGTATTGATAAATTAGTTTGTTACCTTGGAAGAAGACTTCTAGTTAGCCAATGAAACTCTGTAAACAACTCCAAAAAGCACCTTCACCCCAACTTTTTCCCCAAAACAAAATATCCTGCAAACCCGATCATTCTAGGAAGATCAAATGTTTCGAATTAAATTTGCAAATCAAATGATGTGATTGTTGATGATTGAATTATTACTCAAACGCTGATTAACATGTTTATTTTCTATTGCTGATATATCATTTAATTTGTAAATTTAATTTAATTTTTTTATCTTTTTACCATTATCAAACCCACAAATATCAACACAAAACCCACTTCAGGATTTCAATCAAAATCCACAATTTAAACAAAAATACGGCATGCGCTAAGAACCGGAACATCACCAGGGGCCATGAGCGTCAAGCCATCAGATTTGGGGACTAGTGTTTCTGTATGTGATGTCGCCGCATTCCATCACCGTGCACGGCAGCCCCAATCCACATCCAGAAACTAGTCGTGGAAGGCGTGAACACCAACGGCGTTTTGGAAATTGAGATTGTGAATCTCAATGAACTAGGTTGCTGGCATTCAAAGGTGAGTTTGGTTTTGAGTTTTCTGCCGAGAAATGGGGAGGTGCCTTTTGATTGGTAAGGACGGAGCTTGGCCGCTCCGATGAAGGAATCCATGTGCTTGCTGATATACAAGATGCAAAATACAACATCCTGAAATGGAAGAAAGTGAAATTAGAGAGAGGGAAGAGGAAGGTGTACGGGTCAAATTACATTTTTATCCTGTATTTAACGAATATTTAACGAAAAAATCAGTTTTGAACTAAATTTATTAAAGTTGTACATCACGAGGAAAAATGATGTTACATTTTAGGAGGAGAATTCGAACTGGGACATTTTTTCATATTGGAAGATGAATTTTAAAAGACTAAATATTTGTCGAAAGATAAATTCAAATTCAGATGCATGACGATACAACACATTAATTATAATAGAGTTAGTCAATTACGGTACAAAAGTTGGGCAACTTAAAAAATTGAAGTTCAGAATCTATTCCATGAGAAAAGGTCTACAAAATTCAAATTCCCCCATTTTGCAAAAAGTATTACGTAAACAAAAGTATGGGACAAGCTTGTAAACTTGGTTTACCCAAAAGGATAAAATGCCCCATCTCTATAAATTTTATCTCCAAAATATTTTCTTTAAGTGCATGTATTCATAAAGTCTAGGATGATGTCTTAACTTTTCTTAATTTGTAAGATTTTTTTTTTTTTTTTTTGTGTGTGTGTGGAAGTTTTGGCATTTTTTGTTATTTTGGATCCGTTTCACATTACCATTTGGTTTGCAGTTACTTATTTTTCACTACATTGACTCCTGTCGATTTAAATTTCAAATATAACAATTGTTCAAGCAAAAACAAACGAACAAACAATTTTTGTTTTCCGCTTGACTATAAGATAAATGTAAATGATATTGTAGTTAACAAAAAATCTTTTGACAAAAGAAATTAAAATTTTATTTTACTTAGTTATGATTTTATAATTCAATCATGTTGGATCCATGAACCTACTCTTATAAATTTCATGAAGGGCATGAGTTAAAATTACACCAAGAAAATCTTATCATCATACACGGATAGTCTGGTAACGATGACATTTTTTTTTTTTCAAAACATTTATACATCAAATTGAATCATATAATTTTTACATATTAGGTTCGATTCCTGGTGTTGGTGAATCATGTACTCGATGATGGCAGAGGAGGTTGAAATGCTATTTCGACCTGCAAAATAGTAGATTGTTGTAGCGAAATTACCGGTTAATCCATTCTTTAAAATAATGGAATATTTACAAAACTTTGCTTGCGAAATAAGTACGATAGAGAAGCAAAATATTAATGATTGTGTATCAGCATGGCCTCACAACATAAATTAGCACTCAACATCTATAAATGCATTAACTTTCCAATAAATAATAAGAATTAATCATAAATTTGAGCGTAGCCGAATTAGTTGGAGTAGCAGATGACGTATTCACCTATATTTAAGTCTTACCCTTTTCCTCTCTAACCATGCCTTGTAATTTTGAATAAATAAAAGAGAAATACTAAGGAGACTCTTTCAAAGTAAGACTTTCTATGGACTCCGGGTCACCTCATATTTTTAGCATAATATTTTACAATGTATTGTACCAGAAACATGAGATGACGAAAAGTTCATAGAAAGTCTCACTTCTGAAAACGTATATTGCAACTATTTCATGAATAGAGTATAAAAGCCTAAAGCCCAAACTATGTTATAGTTGGTTGTTGTCACTTGTCATTCAATTGCATCGGATAACTTTTTTCTGGGATGGACTGGTCAGCTAAACCTCTTTGAGAACAACTGCCTGTCCGAGGACAATGGTTTCCGGGATGGACTTGCAACAATATGCCTGATGCGTTTGCATTATATCTGAACCATGATATAAAGCCCATCATAGAGCTTTGAAATCTCCGGTTCCAACTACGTTGCTCCACTCCACAGATAGTTATGGCATATACCGAAGGAAAAAAGGTCGGAAGCTGGCAGAAAACAAAAGGGCTCTGTGAATCGTACGACTCATCGATCCCGCTAGAAAACGCAAAACAACTACTCTCGCCCTCAGTTTTTGCATGCACACTTACACGAAAGATTACAGAACCGATTTTTAACACGCAAGTAAGTTTTGAAAAACCATCAAGGTAGTAAAATTCATGTTTGGTATATGAGGGAGACATCTTACAGCGCCTGGCTTCAAGGAATAGTCATAGCCAACTGTAGAACAATCGTGACAGATAGTGACCTGGACAACTGGAGAAACTTCATCAACCACATAATATTTCGGTGGCTCATATCATCTTTTGATTAACCAACTCAAACTTAGAAAAAATGAAGTATTTGAAATGTCTTTGTTGGACAAACGAAGAACATAGTCCGACTGATGCCGTATTATATTGGAAAAACAAAAAACTGAAATTTTTGTCAAGGAATGAACAGAGAAACCTATGGAAGTTGGATTCATCTGATGGTAGGAACTGCTTCTAGAGTCCTTCAGAATTCCGATCTCCTCGAGTCCTTTGTGAAGCATTTCAACCTGCAGGAGAGAGTGATCGGGATAAGGTTCTCATTGAGTCATTGACTCTCAGAGGATGCAGAAAATGGTTAAATTCTCAAAGTGAAATTGACAGACGAGAAACAACTCGGGGACAAAGAACCATACTGAAAAGTTGTGTATTTCTCGAATGTTAGCACCAGGTTCGCAAAGCTCCACAGATGTCTTGTTTGTTTGCAGAATAAGATCGTAGAGCTCTTCCTGAAATGCAGACCAGACCTCGCATCGATGAGCTTCATGGATCACTGAGATGCTCCAATGCAATTACATAATAAAAATCTAAAGAAAAAAAATAATATTGAAGAGTTAAAATAAGATGTTAGCACTCAAACTCCTGCACGACACTTTGTCAAAATATAGACACACGGCGTTCAAATGAAACAAGATTTGTAACAGCATTAACAGATTTAATAAAATGATCTGGCAAAAACAAGGCAGATAAATCGTTCTTTCAGCTTTTGAAAAATGCTGTAAAGGTGAAGAAACATTCAATCATCCTTACTTGAGCTGACGAGAAGCTGCCATAGGATGGCCAGGTGCGAGTAAGATCACTGACATAACCACGAATCTCGCAACCAACATCCTCCAAGACAAGAGCCCCATCTTTTATCTGCAAATAATGTACATAAACCTTTGTAAGCAGAAATGGTAGACTTGATAATTAGCTCACTTTCTGATCATTCCGATCATAATGTATTACACTGGCATTGGACCCGCCACAAACCACAGGATTGAATGTGGTAACGGAGAAAGAAATTCGTAAATCCTTACAGAAATTTGAAAACAGAATGTCTAACAAAAAATAGCATCAAAAACCAATTCCTGCCATTCCACTACACATTTTCAAGTGTAAAAGAGCGTATGTAAAGGGAAGAAGCCAACTTTAACCTTATTCGGAGATATTTGTGAACTTGTTCGAAAGCTACGACACGATGTTACGAATAGTACTTTTAAACACCGATTCTAACTGTAATACCCCAACACTGTTCATATATAGGATTGTGCAATGATATAAGATACTGTAGGAGATATTGGCTGATGAAATGAATAGCAACACAACAGATCCAAGTAACAGACGCAGACTCTTTCATTAACTTGAGCTCCGCCATTGGTCAACTTTATCAACCGTAACTCATGGGTGACAACCGAAGCATCTTTCACTTTTCCAGAGAGCTGGTTTTCTGAAACGGATCCAGTTCCGTATATGTTGGTGCAGCCTTCTGCAAATTGCGGAACAATTGGGACGATCCCCTCATAAAATCTGGCAGGATCTGCAGTCAGTAAAAGATAAGGCAACGTATATATAATGATACCATGCATGATGAAGGAATTCCAGTAGCTGCACTAACTCCCGCAACTATCCCTTGAAAAAATCCTCGTAATCCTGCCGTAATCTGCTCATTGGATATGCTGTATCTGCCTTGAATACTTTCCAGTGCTGCACTAGCTCCCGCAACTTCGCCATGCACAAGTCCTAGTGCTTCAGAATTCAGAATCTCTCTGCCTAGGGTTTAAGACTTTCAGAGAAGCTTGGGGTTTTAGAGAAGGGGTGCGATATCTATAATCCTCATTTTACTTCTCACATACCTTTTTAATATTTGGCCGTCAGATTGGATGAATTAAAAAAAGATTAACGAACAGACATTATCAAGAGGTGTGAGAGAAGTAAAATAAGGTGTGTGAATAACACACCCCTTTACAGAAAACATGAAATTACTAAATACCGCTGTTTTTTAGGGATTCATCTTTCCCTACCATTTGGGCCTTATTTGTTCTATGGACCATTTCGGCTTTTTGATTGAGGTTTTCAAAGAAAGAACTACAAATTTCATTTTTAATTTAAAAATATAATAACCAATATAGAAATATATTATTACATTTATGTCAGAGATTTCGATAAAAAATTAAAAACCACAAAGGTTTTAGTCAAAGAACACTAGTAGTTAAAACCGCATCCAAAATGTCTCTTTTTTTTTTTTTTGGTTTGTACGCCCTCTTTTTGTTTTTATCTATTAATTCTTCTTTGACTCTTTTAATATAATACAATAAATAAATAAAAATGAACGGAGAAAAAAGAGTACAAAAATGATTTCTCTTTTAATAAAGATGAAAATAAAATATGTCACTCCGTGAAAAAATATAATTGTGCACTTTAATTTTTTTATATTTATAAAAAAAAACAACTCTTTATAAAATTTAGTCTTCAATAAAAGGAAAAAAAAAAGAAAAAAGAAAAAATAATTATAAAAAAAGACAACGAAACTTACCAGAAGGATTGACTTTAGGGTCTAAGTAGGGACAACAATATACGCAATGAGAGAGAAAAGATGCTTTGCTTCTGTTTAATAGAAGATATTTAAGGCACAATCTTATCTTAATTGCCCAAAGTGCACTTTTCTTTTATTTTTGGTTATACTTAATGCACAAAGCGCATAGTTAGTGACTCTAATTGGATTAATTAAAGACCTAATATGTCATTAGTTATCTTTTGGGGTCAAGTCTAGCTCAACTTTGCATTTCTTTATTTTTCCTTGACTTGCTCAGCTCGTCATTAAAGTCACATTGCTCGACTCCACGCTAAAGTCACATTCATTCCTCGAGTTTGAGGTCTCTTTCAAAAATGAGAAGAGAAGACAAATACAATAAGAAACTGAGTTTAGTACATTTTAATATTAAGAAAATAAATACCAATATACCAATAATCAGTTGGTTCATTGATCGAACTTGGAAAATGGCGTGTTTGATGTACTAAATCACGCAACACATCTGGCATACACACATTATATACCACATCAAATCTAACCTCTCTAACATTTTATTGTCGCACATTTAGAGATTTACAAATAAATGGCAAAAGAGTGTAAACCGATGCAAAATTTAAAATGAATAAAACTTTAATTCATTAAGCTGAACTAATGAAGGGTCAATACTCAATAAACCATAATTCCATTGCTAATCAAAAGAAATTATAATAAGGGAACAAAACAAAACACTAACAATCAAAATTAATTAAAAAAAACATATTAATATTAAGTCGTATAAACAGAAATACATCATCAAACACATCATCATCATCCACGTGTCACATGATGGTTCGTCAAAGTCAAACGGAACTCTCCTCACTCACATGACCTTCCAGCCCGACTCCAAAGTGGGAAAGCACGAGAACGAGTCAAAACCTAATCCCCCTGACGCAACGCCACCGCCAGGAGCGACGTCGACGCCACCCGTCGCCCCGAATGACACTGGGCCGGACCCGGTCAACGTCGTGTTGGGCCCAGGCCCAGTAGCTATCCTAGTCGAAATGGGGCCCGCCAACTGCGGCTCTTGATTGGGCTGATCCAAAAGATACGCAGACGTATCGAGGGTCGGCATGCAGAGGCCGACACCACCGGCCAACAGGCTACCGGGTCTCTGTGGCTCCGGCTTCACAACCGACGGCATAGTGACTTGTCCGTTACCGAATCTTACGCCGGTCACCTGTTGCACCATCTGTCGGAAGTTGCTCGGGTCCGCCGTGATGAAAGTCGTCAGGGACCGTTTCGACGCGCGAGACTTGCGCTTCGAAACCTTACCGCTACCATTCGCCACCGCAATCGCGTTTCTCTGCTGGCGTTTAAGCGGAGCGGCAGCCGAATCCAAATCGTCCGAGCCGGAGAGTCCCGAAACGGTGGGGGTGGGGGTCGTTTCGGGTGTTTGAACGATGGTGTTGAGAAAAGGCATGAAAAAATCGGGGGAGGAAGATTCAAGCGGCTCCGGGTTGTTTCCGGAGAGGGACTTCTGGAGCGCCATGGTGAGGGTTTTGGTGTCGCGGGAAAAGGCGTCAGAGATCCAGGAGTCGGCGAAGGTGTTGGGCCTGAAAGCCCACGGCTCCATCATGCTCGCCACGTTCTCTGACGACGCCATTAAGCAGCTCAATCAACTAAAAATTCCAAATTAAACTGAAAATTTGAATTTGAGCAACTGGGTTTTTGTGTAATCAATCGAATTTCAGATCATTCTTTTTCGTTTTGAGAAATCGGAATTGAGGAAATGGGGTTTCTGTACGGGATGAAAGGGAATGAAAGTGAAGCGTACTGTGAGGATTGACTGAATGGAAAGACTTGGGGGTTCTTATCGTTGATTAGTAAGCAGAGAGAGAGAGAGAGAGAGAGAGAGAGAGAGAGAGAGAGTGAATGAAGGTGGTGGTCGTTTGAGAGGAGTAGCGAGGAAGAAGACGATGTGCATAAATAAGGCGGTGTGGGGAGAATTAAGAGGATGACGAAAACGCGTTGATCGCGGGGACACGCGTCGTCTTTTCCGTACGCATTTTTATATATCTAAGTAAGCTGCTGTTGCTGACTATAATTGAATAATAATTATGACTTCATTTCAAATTTGCTCCCTCAACTTTAGTGATATTGTCATTTTCGTTCTTTTACTTTTAAAAATTTATGAAACGATAATATTGGTTTTAGTTACAAAACCTGACAAACACTAGTGGTAGGCATATTTCAATTGGTTGTTTTTTGTTCAAGAAAATCGCTATGTTAACTTTATTGGAAACAAAACCTTTCTCAATAACACCAAATAAACATAGATTCTACGGAATATAAAGAAATTAGATAAAAGAAGAATGTTGTATGTTGTGTTTGTTGGTAGAAGAAAATAACTATGCTTTTTAGGTTGATACTTGATAATGAGTTTGTGAACTAATGTAACACCGAAATAGTGTATTGATGTTTGAATCATATTATTTGTTCTTGTTTAATGATAGTATTAGACTAGTTTTAGTTTCAACGACCATTAAAAGTAGTAGTTCCAAACCAAATCGACCAATTAAGTTGGTTATTAATGTTAGTTAGTCTTTAGCATAAATGTCAATTACAAACTGAAGTGGTTGAGTTAATATACATATTCGATCAAGAACCAACGGTGGTTGAAGACGAATTTCAGAACCGTATTTCATACGACACATCTTAGTTTGATTCCTGCCACTGTAAATCACTCGATGGTTGCAAGAGAAGACTGAAATGCCTTTGTGAGTCTTTCCAGCTCCAAAATAAATTGCCGTTACAAAGCCACCAGCTGATCTTTTTCTTTTTTTTATTTTAAAAAAGAAAACTTAATCAAGTAGTTGAGCTATCAAAAATTTCCTCAAAAGATAGTAAAAGCAACAGTCATTACCATATCGTTGTTGGCAGACGAAAACATTTACGATCAATTTGAGAGGAAAGAAAGTTGAACGACCAAAGTGGAAAAATCCAAACGCTAAAGGGGCAAATAGAAAAAACCCTAATCATTAAATAAACTTAGGCAAACCGTAGCAGCTAATAACTCAACCATGGTTGTGGGTTGACTGGTCAGAAGTAAAGGTGGCGACTTCCCATTGGCTGCCAAATTTGAAGCGGTATGATAGTGAGAGAGAGAGAGAGAGAGAGAGAGAGAGAGAGAGAGAGAGTAAAGAATCTCTCTATCTAGATAGAGTGACGGTGCAGCCGCGTCATGCTGACGGACTTAACGCGTAAGCTCGCTTACCGATTTTTTTAAAATTTTTATTTTTCGATTTTATTTTTCAAAAATTATGATCCCTTTACTTTACTGTCAGTAGTAATTGACCGACACTGACTTTGACTTTCCATATAAATCCAAACATATATGCTTTTTCGTCAGTCTATTTTTTGGTAAAAGGAAACACAAAAAGCACGAAGAAATTAAATTTGAGAAAATTAATGGAAAAAGTTTGAAAATTTTGAGTTTTAATGATAATAAAAAAATAAATGGTAAAGTGAATAGTACGAGGATTAATTTTTAGTGTAAAAATGTGATTTTTCGTTAAAATGAACAGTATCGAGAGTTTGTTGTTAAAGTTCCCATCAAATTTTACTGAAAGAAAAAAAATTAGAGAATCAATAGTGAAACTATCTGTTAAAAACTTGTAAAGTAAGGGTTCGTTTGATAAAAATTTTAAAATGATTAAAAGTTATATTAGAGAAAGTGTATTTGGGTGCTAAAAGTATTTGAAATGTGTTCTTTGTAAAAAATATCAGTTATGTGTTTTGTTTTATAATTCACTTTGTATCCTTTATTAAAAAATTAATTCTAAAAAGCTATTTCAGTCATTTTATGATCACGGTCAAATATGCTCTAAGATTGTCCGCTCATGCATTTAAGTCTGAGTTTTCTCATCTTCGATAGGTCCGTATCGGAATGGAACAAATACATTAAATAAACAAAAGACTATCTCCTTACGCATGCTTCAACATCTTTTTTTGTTTGTTTATTTAGTCCAATGCCACAAATATACCAGTCTTGTTGACCATAAAAACGAGGGTTCAGAAATTACATTTTTAAAAAATTATAATTCAAGGTAGTCAAATTAAAATTTTAAAATTTTTTAAAAACGATAGATTTAATAGGATTTAATAGGATTTAAGAGGATTAAAGACTCTTATAAAACTCATATGGATTTTAAAGAATTTGAATAGATTGTGGTGGATTGTGGTGGAAGGATGTGAAATCCTACAAAATCCACAACTTATTGAAATACTTCAAAATCTTAATTTTTTTAATACACTTAGATTTGGATGGATTTTAAAATCCTTTAAAATCTTTTAGGGGGTGTAGTCAATTTGAGAGAATTTTAAAAGACTTTGAAATCCTAGTGTAGTCAATTAAAATATTTTAAAGGATTTTAAAATCCATCTAAATTCAAGTGTATTAAAAAAAATTAAGATTTTGGAGGATTTCAATAAGTTGTGGATTTTGTGGGATTTGAGAGCCAAAAGTATATATAACCAAGACTAAAAAGAATCTAACCTCACCCCCTAGGATTTCAAATCCTTCCACCACAATCCATTCAAATTCTTTAAAAATCCATATGAATTTTGTAAGAGTTTTTAATCCTCTTAAATCTTATCAAATCTATCACTTTTAAAATCCTTTAAAATCTTAGTTTGACTACACCTAGATTTGAATTGATTCTAAAATCTTTTAATTGACTACACCTAAATTTGAATGAATACTAAAATCCTTTAAAATATTTTAATTAACTACACTAGGATTTTAAGGTCTTTTAAAATCCTCTTAAATATGAATTTGACTACACCCCCAAAGCATTTGGAGGAACATTTTAGCTTTTACATTTTTTTTTTTTAACTTTCAAGGTCAAATTGAATAAATTTAAAAAAAAAATAACGGAGAACAAGAGGTGTGAGAGCTTGAAAAAAATATATGTTTAGAATTTTTTTATACAATTATATATTTACATTAAAATAGTAGACGAATAAAATATTTACGTATTTATCATTCATGATATTCGAACTTAAAATTTTTTTATTTAAAAATGAAAAAAAATATATTAAACATTTAAACTATAATATTAAGTGACTATCATTTATGCTGTTAAAATAGTAGTATTATACTATTATTGATGGGTCTGCTGGTTTTTGGGTTCTATTGTAATTTTCATGTTACTTTAGACCATCTCCAATGGTTGGGCTAAAAGCCAAATTTTTTAGCCCGGAAAATTTAGCTTTTAGCCCAGAAACAACTTTTCTGCTCCAACCGTTCTGGCCTAAAATTTTAGCCCGGGATTATTAAAGAATGAACTTATGCTATTTTTTTTGTTAAATTAATTTAAAAAAAAAAAATATGTAGACTATCGTAAATTAATTTTATAAACATTTTAATCTAAAAAAATTTAAATTCCGATAAATATTGAAAAATCACTAAATTTCACACAAAGCAAGCCGTCAACTTTTACCAATCTTTCAACCCTGGGCTAACTTTCAATTCACCAACCTTTCAACACCAAATTTTCAATTCACCAACCGTTGAACACCACACTTTCAACTTTCACCAACTATATAAACACCAAACTTTCAACTTTCACCAACTATATAAACATCAAACTTTCAACCAACCATTCACCACCAAACTTTCAGAAATCATCCTCTATATAAACATATGTCCAATATTTGTTGATCACACAACCTTTCAACCTTCAATCATCCTCTATATTCACCCATATTTCAACTTTCAAAGAGTTTTTGTTTCCTAAAAATCCTCAATATCTCATCAATGGGTGATAGAAGAAGGCGTAGTATGGCAATGCAGATGGCACAATACCAAACAAGGATGGAGATTGAGGATGCTGAATTGTTCAATGCTGAAGTTGAACTATTCAACTCGTTTATGCAATCTGAGCACAATGGCGAATCTAGCCATCGTGGTTCTGTCACGGGGTATTCATATGTGCAGCGTGATAGAGAAGAGTGTCATGATCGAATGATGAAAGATTATTTCATCGAACGTCCGAGATTTCCTGCTCATGATTTCGGCGGCGGTTTCGGATGAAGAGAGAGCTTTTTGAAAGCATCTTGAATGCAGTTGTCAACCACTACTTTGAACGGAGGGTAGATGCCACAGGCCGACAAGGTCTATCACCTCATCAGAAGCTCACATCTGCTTTTCGCATGCTAGCTAATGGATGCTCTGCAGACTCAACTGACGAGTATTGCCGCCTTGCAGAAAGTACTGCTATTGAGAACCTGAAACGCTTCTGTAAGGCAATTGAAGGCATATATGGAGCCACATACCTCCGCAACCCAAATCGTGCAGACTTGAAGAGGCTTCTACGCAAGGCAGAAAAAAAGAGGCTTCCCTGGCATGATAGGAAGTCTCGATTGTATGCATTGGGAGTGGAAGAATTGTCCTACTGGTTGGGCTGGCCAATTCAAGGGCCGTCATGACAAGCCAACCATCGTGCTCGAGGCTGTGGCGTCTTACGACACATGGGCCGTTAGATTTAAATTATTTTAACCGTTAGATTTAAATTTGGGCCGTTAGATCTTTTTTTTACCGTTAGATTTGATTATATTTGATCTCAGCCGTTGGACTCAATGTATTTTAAAATAACATATTTTAAAAAATCAAATTTGAATTTGGACCGTTAGATCAACCAACGGTCCTTGAAACACATCCGTTGGATTGCAAAAATAGCCGTTGGACTTCAGCTGGGTGGCCGACAACCCGCTGACAGCGGGGCCCACCCTGTCGGGCACGGTCTGCAAGCGCTCCGCGTGGGGCGCGTACACGAGTGAGCGGGCCGAGACTGGCCTTTGGGCCAGCGAGTCCAGTCGCGCGGGGGGGGGGGGGGGGTGAAATCTGGGGGGAATTTGGCCCAACTTTAACATTTGGC